GGATATTCTTTAAATGATCTCCTTTTGTATTTTGCAGAAGAAATAAAGTCCTACGGTTTCGGAACGATATGAGGGTGAGTAAATGATTTTTCTTTTTGCAAATATGTAATGAATATACTTTTAAAATGGATATCTAAATCAAACTAAAGGCTACAGTGTTACACTGCATTCAGCAATAAAAGAAACAATACACAACAGAAGTGTGTCGAATGAGACCGAAATTTATTAGTCTATTGTTTGCATGTGTGAAATGCTTTAAGTCACATCATTCCAGACGTTTGGCAACCAAGTGACAAAGCTGCTATCAAGAACTGAAAAACCCCAAGGATGAAGCCAAGTCCATGGAAATTCTATACAGTAAATAAAATAGATATAAAAGGGCTTTATGTCAATGTGTACATTTGGCCAGGTTTGCTGTGTCACGTCGCATCAGTTTCAGTAAAAGTGCATATGGGGCTTCACTTTTTGACCTCTCCAAGATCGTCGATGCTGTCGTCATCCACCTGTCGGGTTAGAGAATATGTCAAGAAAAGCTTTGATAATGGTTCATCTGGTCGGATTGGCCGCTGGGATCTGGGATGTTTGCTCACCTCAGGCCACTTTTCCTGGATGACGTCAATGATGTCATCTGTAAAGTCTCCCTGAATGATGATTTCGTCTTCTGCTGTCACTGAGGCACCACAGGAGAATTTCTGAGCAAAAAACCTCTGAGCCTCCTTAAGGTCGATATCTGATGTGGACCACAGAATAATAAAGTTACCGCAGGGTAAAAATACATGACAAACATTTAATACTTATTACTACAATCACAGCCTTACCGAAAGTGGCCATGCCACACACCCTCGTGACATATTTCTTTTTAGCTCTAGGGATTTTTGCTATCGTGATTTTTTGAGGGACGGTCTTCTTTTTCTGTTTGATTTGACCTCTTCCACCTGCAAAGGGAAAAACAAAACAAGAAACACTTTAATAGCTAGAGAGAGAAAAATCTGTAATTTTCAGTAATTTAAATCAAGCTGAAATTAAACAAAATATAAATATTGGATTTAAAACTTAAATTAAAATGAGAAATGTTGCATTGGCAACTAACTGAAATTTGATTGAAGTATTAAAATTGAAATAAAAATAAATGAGAGCTAAATAGAAGTAAAAAAATAATAAAAATGACAAACTTAAACTGAAAATATATAAATAAAAGTATGCAAAATATCAATAAATACTATAATAGTATATAAATAATAATAAAATAACACATATGCTTGAATTAATCTTGACATGAAAGTTAAAGTTGCCTGGTATTGAAGATCATATCAATAACCAATGCCATAAAACCAAAATACACTTTAAAAAAAAATCTAATAAATGTTTTAATTGGACAGTTAAGAGATTCAGGAAAGTTTTGGATGTGGTGTGCAATGCCAATGGAAAGAAATATGCAGATTCAAACTTGGGAGCACCATCGTGAGCACATGCAAATGCTTATATATGTCTAAATATTAAATTAAATGTTTAACCTCTCTTCTGTTTCTTCTTCTCCTCTTCCTCTCCTGCAGGGTGCACTTCTCCACCTCCACCACCGCCTCCTCCTCCTCCTCCTCCTCCACCTCCTCTTGTTTCCTGTTTGAGTGCTGTACCTATACAACAGCAGTGAATTTGGTTAGCAAAATACTGGCAAACTGATACAGCAGTGCTTGTCATAAAGGTGCTGACCAAATATCACCCTCAACCCCGTTTTTTTGTGACTTGTACCCAGCGCCGGCGCCAGGGGGGGTCTTGTGGGGTCTCAAGACCCTCCCAAAAAATGCTTTGACCCCCCATTTGACCTCCCACCCCCTTCCTGATTAAAAAATATATATATCCGGGATAAATATTTTAAAATGTGTATCTTCAAACTACGCAGAACATTGAGAACAATTAATAATTTATTCGACATACAAAATATACAAACATAAGAATCACGTTCCCTCTAAGCTGCGCGCGTGCGCGGTCGTGCACTTCTGATGCCGCGGCCGCGCAGAAAAGAATAATATGCCACGCAGAGGACTGACGCGAAATGTGTGGGGAAATCCATTTGATTGTATGTGAGAAATAATTGCAGTGCTCAAACTGGTGAGTGCAGTTAACAGGTTTCAAAGAAAGAGAATGATGTGAGCGCGTGTGATTGGCAGTGAGTCGTGTGTGCGGACCAAATATCTCAATACGAGAGGCAACGAAAAACGCAAAGACGTGAAATAAAATCACAATATCATGTTTTAAAGAAGAGTGGTTTGATTAAAGTGGTGGAAATAACGGATGATGGACACAGAACGGTAACAATTACACACCCACCCGCGTGCAAACTCAACATACATCATTAGTTTACATAGATTTAAATAGTTTCAGGCATGGTTAGATTAGGCTACTATAAAAGAGTTCACATATTCACTTTTCTTGAAAATATTTATTTAGCTATTAGATCTAGCTATTTACAGTAAATGCCTCAGTTTGTTTTCATATTATAATAATATAATATGAAAACAAATTGAAGCATTTAAACTGATATATTATATAACTTCAAATACTTCAATTCATTTTTTTATATTATATTAGGCATATATTTTATTATATTATAAGCCTAAATAAAGAGGATTGTTTAGGGCTCATTGCCATTAAAAAGTTTGAAACCCCCTGCTAAAGAAAATATTGGAAATTCATAAGCTATAAACAATCATTTAACTTTGATGGTTTAATGCTGCCTGTACAATTAATTGACTGTACAAAAACACTTGGTTTTCCCAAACCATCTCAGTGTAACAGCTTAATTTTCTTTCATACTATATTATATTATTGTAAAGAATTGAACTGTCCTGCAGAAGATTTTGTAAATAATTTTTCATAGGATTTCTTAGTAAAGACTGGAAACAGAGGACACCGAGGAATTGGAGGATGAGGAGGATACTATTTTGTAAATATGTTTTCTGTCATGGGTGTGGCTATGGCAATTAAAGTTCGAGCATATTGTTTGCAAACTGCAATTGATTAATTAAAAACAAAGTAGTTGATATGCTGTGTTGTTTTTGTTAAGTAGCAGCAATATGCAGTTATTAGTCGTGTCCTCTGTATTTTTTGTTGGTTTTCATGAGACCCCCCTTGAAATGACCAGGACCCCCCATTGCCCCCCCAATCAAAATTGTCTGGAGCCGCCACTGCTTGTACCCCCGGTTTCACTATGGCCTAAATGAAAGTTGCTGTGAAAGAAAGTTGACTTACCAAGAGTCAGTTTAGCAAACACATCAGGAAAGTTCTTCTCAAGCCACTGTTTGCATTTGGCTGGCTCAGGCATGTACTCACAGTACTAGCAGAGCAAAGAGAACTTTTTATTAATTCACTTAATACCATCATACTCATACCATATGAAGTTTTCACTGAATAATTCTAAAAAACAACAACAACCACCGTACATCAAGAAACAAGTAATAAAAAAAGAAGTGATAATTTGTAACATTATGTACTCACCTCTACTGGCAGGGAACAAACTGCAAGTAAAAGAAGAGAAATTACACAGCTGTGAAACTAAGAGAATAACATTTAATTTAAAAATGAGCATTTTCAATCCAGTCCATTTCCCACAAAAAACTCATGCATTTTCTCACCTCCACAGTAGAGAACTTTCAGTGGGTATTTTGCATCTGGGTCGGCCCGATCCCCTTTATTTTCTGGTAAACCTGACTCTGCATTTTCAGTAGTAGCCATATTACATGAATCTACAAACCATACAGAACAGAAGGGTTATTTTAGACTCATAATTCGAGCTGATGCACAGTGGCTAACAAACTGATACATGATAGCTTAAATTCTAAGCTATTATGCAGCAAAAAAGCACATACAGCTTGAGGAAAGTGGTCAGTTAATTTGAAACACTGTCAAAACCAACAATATGGTGCCTTCATGACGTGCATGCAGAAATGTGGTCTGTCTGAAGATGATTATACTTAATTTATAACAGATATACAAATCAGGCACACGTTTTTGGGTTGAAATTTAAAATGCCATAACCAAAGATGTGCAGGTCTGTTTATCTTATTACTAAAGGCCCATTTGACAGAAGAGAGACCTTTCATATGTGCACTATTTAACAACCTTGGGGAAATCGTTATAATAGATTCAACTTCTTTAAACTCTCAAAACATTCTATTTTGGATCATAAAAGTATGCATTTAACTTTAAGCGCATGTAAACACATTAAATGTCAAGTACCAGCAACACCCTAGTGGTGCTTTAGAGATACTAACCAACACACTAAGACCAGATGCAATGGCTCTGATCAAAGCTTCTTCGTATTACACTCTCATAAGCATTGACATATAGTTTAAACATCTTTCAAAGCCACTGACAGTGACTTAAATCATGAAGCCTCCGCACAATGATCATCCATCTACACCACTGAGCTCCCATTCATTAGCCACCACTGCTAATCACAGCTCTCCTACAGCAGCCACGCGCTCAAACTCATACATACCCCGTCGGTATAATCTCAGTTTAACTTGCTTTTGAGTAACACCTTGATCATTATTACATTAACTATAGTTGTTGTTCTTTAACGGGTGAAAGAGTTTCACTGTTGCTCAGCACACCTTCACTGTCTGATTTGGCTTTGGGTCCTGACAACGCCTGTCTGTCTGAGGCAGAGCAACAACTGCGTTTGCGCCTATGCCGTATTACGTACATACGTCGTGGTGGAGTATTTTAGGTTATTAGTGAATGAATAATTTTAATATAAGCAAGATGTGTTTAGATAAGTCATTTTATGTAATTGCATAAAATTAAAACGCATAAAGATCTTTTTTAACGATTCTTTTAAACCAGGCATCGCGGTGGACGCCTTGTTCAGCGCAGATCACATTCACAACATGCCGTTTAAGAATTCCGACAATAATTCCCGCTTCTTGTCATTTACATTTCACAATGATTCAGAATTGATTTTTATAACTGCACATTTTTATAAATTAATCTTAGTTTGGAAATAGTATTAGGGTGTTTAAATTACATTTGTTTGTTTATTTTTAATCCCGAGTGCCTTGTTTACACTTAAATAATGGATCTTTAAAAACAAATAGACTTAGGTCTGTGATAATAAGACAATGGTACTGATATTCTTTTGCATCTGTTTGATGTTGTCGCTGATGTTTTGTTCATATAAAGCGAGGTCAAATGTAATTTGAGGACTTGTCTGTTAATCCAGATATTTGTCAGTGTTATTATTTGTCCGATATGAGATGTGATGGAGGGGTTTACAGACAGAAGAAACTCTAAAACTCCTGGAAGTTTTTCAATATCAAAAGGTGATGAACGTCATGCAACAATAATGAAATTCAACATGATGATTATTATATTACATTAAGTAACTTGATGATTTTACAGGATATCCAGTGGAGCCATGGCACAGTACTCCTGTAAAAAAGGTTGGTTGTTTTTTAAATTGTTTTATGTTATAATAATATCACTCATTAGTGGATGAGGTGGGGGAAAAGCGAAGGACCACCTGATCATGATCTCATATGAACTCCTTCAATTATATTTAAAAAGCATCCATGATGTTTGTTAAGAAAGTGTACAGAATAATATAGACAATGGGTGTTGACTTATATAAGCTAAAATTAATTTTATTGTATTCATTTTCTGGATATTTTTAGTCACTATGTGACTTCTTTCCATTTGTGTTCTTAAATTGTTTTGATAAGTTTATGATTATTTTAAGATGTGGAAATAGAGATAATAAAAAATAAGTAGTGGCCTAAATTCTGACTGATATCTAATCCTCTAAAAAACATTTTAGCTAACACTTTAGTATGAGGGACACATTCACTATTAACTACGACTTTTGCTTCAATAAGCTCCTAATTTATTGCTTATTAATAGTAAGTTAGATAGTTGTATCATTTAAGTTTAAGTATTGGGTAGGATTAAGGGGTGTAGAATAATGGTCATGAAGAATAGAGCATTAATATGTAAAAAAAAAAAGTATGATATGACATAAAAAAGTAATGTTTCCCCCCTGTTTTATTGTAAATCTGGCATTTTCTCAGTAAACAGAACGCACTACTTTTTACACTTTTAATGTGTATTGTTTTGCATTCTGGTTGCATTTTTTGTATATCGCAATGTGTAAATGTTCCTTTGTATTTATTGTAATGGTGATTTCGTGTTGAGCAGTTACATATTAAATTCAACTTTACACTTACTGGCAAAAGAAAGAGATTTGATGCTTATTTTATGATACTAATTTCTTCAGAATCTTTTTGCTGCTTATGAGACCCCAGATGTTTCCTCCACCAAGCTCCAAGATGAAAACAGAACGAGACCAGCACCACTGAGTTTGCAAGATCTCTCAAAACCATTGTCCTCTTTTTCATTAACGCAGAACTTCCAGGTACATACATTTTGTTTGAAACGGCTTTAAATGATTTCCCACATTTGCTGCTTATTTCTTGTTAATTCCCAGTTTTCCAGAATACTATTTAATTTTAAAACTGGTTGGCATATTAACTTTTGGATGGGTTTGTGGCTTAAGTATTGTCCTGTTTTTGTGATGTTACCAGACACCAGATAATGGGTTGGAGGTCTCCACCATGCAGAGGCAGCGGCTGGAGCTGCAGCTTCTCATAGCAGAATTAAAGGACCGCGACCAGGAGCTCAATTCTATGGCAGCTGCCCATCACAAGCAGCTGCTGTCCTGGGAGCAGGACCGTCAGAGAGTGCTGATCCTGGAACAGAGATGTTCCCGAATGGAGGGTGAGAGTGAATCCAGTGTGAAGTTCACTTATAATTTTGCACCGAACACACTAATTTAGTTTTAATGACCATTTCCACTTTTTTTTCTGTCCTGTAGAATCAAACAGGTTGTTTTTGATACTGTACCTTTAAGACCTCTGTATTAAACACGTAGGCCTGGTTTCACAGACAGGGCTTAGATTAAGCCAAGATTAGACCTTAGTTCAATTAGGGCATTTAAGTAGCTTTTATAAACGTGCCTTTGAAAAAAACAACATTACTGATGTGCATGACTTGAGACAAAACAATGGCACTGACATATTTTAAGATATATTAGTACAAGTTGCTTTCAGTTAAAACAACTCAAACATGCATTTTAGTCCGAGACTAGGCTTAAAGGGATAGTTCACCCAAAAATGAAAATTCTGTCAGTAATTACTCACCCTCATGTTGTTCCAACCCCGTAAGACTTTCGTTCATCTTCGGAACACAAATGAAGATATTTTTGATTAAATCTGAGAGCTGGATCACTCCTCCATAGGCTTCTTAAGGGATTGAAACTGGCCGGCCCAACAGTTATGAAAGACATTGTTAAAATAGTCCGAGTGACTACAGTGGCTAAATCTAAAGATTATCAAGCGACGAGAATACATTTTGTGCAAAAAACAAACAAAAATAACGACTTTATTCAACTAATGATTTCCTTCTCTGTGGGCCGTGATATTTCACGTACTGAAACTACGCAAAACTTCTAGGTTGTACGTCACACATCACACACATGACCAGCGTCGGCCAATAGTGAGCCTACGTGTGACGTGCAACCTAGAAGCTTTGCGCAATATCACTATGTGAAATATTACGGCCCACAGAGAAGGAAATTAATAGTTGAATAAAGTCGTTATTTTTGTTTGTTTTTTGCGCACAAAAAGTATTCTCGTCGCTTGATAATCTTTAGATTTAGCCACTGTAGTCACTCGGACTATTTTAACAATGTCTTTCATAACTTTTGGGCCGGCCAGTTTCAATCCCTTAAGAAGCCTATGGAGGAGTGATCCAGCTCTCAGATTTAATCAAAAATATCTTAAAGGTCCTCTAAGCGATGTCGGGTGACGTTACTTCTTGTTGACGTTTAAAGTATTGTCAAACAAAACGGAGGCTAGCTAGACCCTCCCTCCTCCTCATCCGCGCACTAACCCCCCAAACCCCGCCCCCAAGTCCTTCTTGTCGGTGATTGGCTGGAACTGTTTGTCATGTTTCGTGGAGCGGGTTAGCCCAGTTTGTTTTTGTTGCTGTGTGTGGAGCCTGGGCTGTCTACAGAGATCGCGTTTCTTTACAGTGTGTTCAGGGGACAGGCAGCCAGCGGTTAGTGAGGAGATGTTTGCTGTATGTGACAAAAAATGTTTTGGCCTCAAAAACGCGTGACATCGCTTAGAGCACCTTTAATTTGTGTTTCGAAGATGAACGAAAGTCTTACGGGGTTGAAACAACATGAGGGAGAGTAATTACTGACAGAATTTTCATTTTTGGGTGAACTATCCCTTTAAGCCTCGTCTGTGAAACCTGGGGTTAAAGTGTAGTGCTACAGTTTCAAAACGTTGATCTATTTGAGCATCCGGACCAGTTTCAATAAATAAATAAGTTGATAGTATGATCAACTCTTAATTCAAAGTAGCAAGAAATTCTGTTTTCCTTAAATCTAAGTGTCAAGGCTGCTCACCAAGGCTGCATTTTAAAAAAAAATCAAAAATACAGTGAAAACAGTAATATTGTGAAATTATTACAATTTACCAGAGCTGGTTTGTATTTGAGTATTGTAAAATGTAATTTATTCCTGTGATCAAAGCTGAGTTTCCGCATCCTTACTTCAGTCTTCAGTGTCACATGATCCTTCAGAAATCATTCTAATATGCTGATTATTATTAATGTTGAAAACAGTTATGCTGCTTCATATTGTTACATTACGTGATACATTTTTTCAGGATTCTTTGATGAATAAAAGTTAAAAAAAAGTTTTTTAAATAGATTTTTTTGTAACATAAATGTCATTACTGTTACTTTTAATTAATTTTGTCCATCCTTGTTGAATAAAAGTAGTAATTTCTTTTTTTTTTTTTTAACTGTGTGGTGTAATTGTCTGCTCATGGTTGCCTAGATGAGCTGGAGAAGCGTAATGAGGTGATCAGAACTCTTAGTAGGCGGACGAAGGTGGCGGAAGCGAGAGAGAAAGACTCGCACAGAGATCTCAACACCACCCAACAGCAACTACACGAGCTGAGCCGGAGACAGATGAACAACAGCAGACATGAGCAGGACTTGGAGGTGAAGTCAATTTTTATTCTTTTCTTAGAGCCTTTGTTCTAGCATGTCCCATCCTGATCCCATCATTTCTTGTCTTCTATCTTGCATCAATTAAATGACACTCATAGGAGAGGAACCAGAGTCTGAACTCCACAGTCATGATACTGTCATCACAGGTGGGGCAGCTGAAGGTGCGCGAGGAAGAGCTCAGCTCCATGCTCAAACTGAAGGTAGCAGAGACTCAAAACACTCACACATCCTTTATCTTATGTCCTATGAATCAGACGCATTAATGTAAGTGCATGCTTTTTTATCAGGATAAAGATGTGATTGAGGCCACAAATCACATTTTAGAGCTGTCTGGTCGTCTTTGTGACCTAGAGAAGTCAATTGAAGAGCTGCGGACACGTGAGAGCAAAACGCATCGAGAAATGGAGGAACACAAACACCGATTCAGAGAGGGCAGACATGAAAACACACAACTAAAAGGTAGATAGGGTTATTTAACAATCCAAGAGTCATGATTGGTGTTCGCCGGGAATCCTACCATGTCTTTATCTGTCTCTTGCTTACTGTAAGAAAAATAAAGAATAAAAATACGCTGTCGGTGTGTTTAAATATATATATATTTTTTTTTTTTTTGCAGCTGAGCTCCAGGAAAAAAACATTGAGAACAACAGCCAGAGAGAAGAACTCATCCGCTTAAAGCAGGAAAACCAGCTGCTGAAGAAGGAGATCACTGCTGTTGAATTTCAGAGGATGAGTATGTCACTACTGTACGTTTTATAGTGTAAGATAGGCTCTGTTTTAAACCCTAGTGACCTGCCTACCTAGACTAGACAGCATCGTAGGCATGTTCTGGACTTTTTCAGACTGTTGCGGGAATGTGAATTTCAAGGGTGTGTTTTGAAAAATATGAAAAAAGATATTAAATTGCCAGTAAATGTTTTAAATTGTTATTAATGCCTAAAAAGGAAATTTATTGATGTAAATCTTTTAACAGCCATAAAAGAAACAATGATAACAAACAGCAATATTGCCTAAACAAACACTGACGGGTGCAGAAAACATATTTTATGGTCTCAATGATCAATGTTTTAAATGAATGGAGGTATTTGTGTCTGTTGTCCAGATGAAGATAAAAGCTGGAGGGATGAATTACTTGAACTATCCCGATCAAAACAAGCCCGAGCTGAATCTGAGCTGGTCTGTCTGCGGCAGGTAATGTTTTTTTTTTGTTTTTTTAACTCCCTCTTTTTTCATCGTCCAATGTCAGTCAGCATTCATTTTTAGAAATCTCTGTCCTTCCCATTTGTTCTTCTGGAGCAGTTTTTCCAGTTTGTCAGCATGCGTCTAAGACTTCCGGCATTCCTTTTCCATGACATTTAACTTGGTCGTGATCTTTTCTTAAACAGCGCCAGTAATCTTTCATCAGTTTGAAACCAACTGTAATGTTTTTCTGTGTTTTTAAGGATAGTTTCGGTCTTTGATTCTGCCATTAACTAGTCTACAAAGATACACCTGTGACTTCCTTACATAAATAATAAAATAAATACTTTATGGACTAGCTGTTTTAAAAAAGCTCTGTGTCGTGCCTAACAACATCCGTTAGCTGTTCTAAATTCACTGTAAACCACGGCTTCACAGGGCTTATTGCTTTATTATTTTCTATGAGTTATTTTAAGTATGGCGTGACCAAACCAATCAACATATCTGATGTCTAAAATATATTTGTGTCCTAACCAGCCAAGACCACATTTGGTCAGTTTTTTTTAATCACATGGTCCAGTTAGGTAGCCCCGCCCTCCATGAAATCTCATTGTCCATAATCCTTCTCCACATTACTGGATCTACAGCATCAGATATGTTCTGATTGGTTCTGATTTGCTTCACACCAAGTTTAGACATAATGAATGACTGATGCATGTATTTGTGACAGGTGTGTGAAAACCAACAGAATGACCTCCAGCTGTTGAAGCTGAACTTGGAGAGCGCCAGAGAGGCACTCCGACATCATGAGGGTCAAAGGTCACGTGAGAGGTGGGCATCTACAATGTGCAGTGTATTATAAACGTAAATTGCTTATTTCAGCCACTTGCTTCACTTTTGTCCAGACCAGTGTTATTTTAGTATTTATATATACTATTATATTTGTTAATAGTATACATTAGTGCTTCAACGTCAACTTATTTCAGTTGGTTGCCATGGCTAATTTTCGTTTTAAAGGGATAGTTCACTTTGAAATTAATTTTTGATATGTTTTAGCTTACCTCAAGGGCATCCAAGATGTAGGTGTCTTTGTTTCCGCAGAAGTTTCAATTTTGATATTTTTAGGTCAAACCGTTCTTGTCTGTCAGTCATATAATGCAGGTCTATGGTCACCACCTCAAAGAGCACGCACAGAGAAGTCCAAATTACACATGATTTAATGACTCGTAAATGTAAGTACACATTGATGGCCTAAGACACGAAACGAGCGGTTTGTGTGAGAAAACGAACATTATTTATATCGTTTTTACCTCTTGTAACGCACAGACCGAAGCGCCCGCGCCCTCAGATCACTTGGATGTGGCTGTGTTTACAAGAGGTAAAAACGATATAAAAACTGTTGTTTTCTCACACAAACGGCTCGTTTCGTGTCTTAGGCCATCAATGTGTACTTACATTTACGAGTCATTAAATCATGTTTAATTTGGACTTCTCTGTGCATGCTCTTTGAGGTGGTGACCATAGACCTGCATTATATGACTGACAGACAAGAACGGTTTGACCTAAAAATATCAAAATTGAAACTACTGCGGAAACAAAGACACCTACATCTTGGATGCCCTTGAGGTAAGCTAAAACATATAAAAAATTAATTTCAAAGTGAACTATCCCTTTAAGTTATCTAATATTTATGTTTTATTTCAGCTTTTTTTCAATTTACAAAAATGTCTTTATTAGCTTTAGTTTCATTTTAGTTAAGGATAATAACCCTGGTGCAGACGTCTTGAGTTATGAGTGTTATTGTGTTCGTAGGGCTGATTCTGGTTTAGGAGACAGTCATGTGCTAGAATACAGTGATCATCAAGGGACAGAACTAGAAACAGGGCTAATGTCCACACTGTGCCACAGCTCAAGCAAAAATGCCCCATCGGTTTTAACGCAGCATCCTTGTGTCGAAATGGAAACACAGACTGACTTTGGCTCAACTTTGAGCGCCACGATCCATGAAGTCGCAGAACAGTCAGCCATAGAGGAAAGCTGCTCCGGCACCAACAGCGTTAGGAACACCTGTACAACTTGCCGGTGTGATGTCAGTGAACAAGAGTCAGCCAAGATGGAAATGAAGGAAAGAGCGAAGAACTGTGTTGAGTTGTTAATCCAGTCCGCTCCTCCAGCTCTCTGCTGTGAAAGCGCTAACAGCCCATCAGAAGCTCCACAGAGTCAGGCAGTATATTCGGATGCTAGAGCCGACGTGGATGTAATGGCTGTCATTGACTATGATGCAGAGACAGGAACTCCTGTCTGTGTTGTTGATGTGGATATCAATCCAAGGTTCTCTTGGTAGGATTAACTAGCTTTGTCTTGTGGGTTAGATTGTAGTCAAATGTTAGGCCTGCATAGAAAGCTCTGCAGATTTCCACAGAATCCGAATGCAAAGTTGCTTGAGTTTTGGACAAAAGATTCATACAATTGGCAGATGCTTTTATTCAAAATGAATTCAATTGCATATACGTTTTGCATTTCATCAATTCATGCATTCCCTAGGAATCAAACCCATGACCTTGGCTTTGGTAGCGGCATGCAGGATGAATGTTAAAAGCACAAACTAAATGCCAATATAATTTTTCCTTTTTGATCGTTTATTAAAGGTGAAACATGTATTTTATATGCCTCCAGCAGCACAAAACAGAATATAGTGCATCAGTTGGTTTTCCGAAGTAAAAATCTCATTATTTTCTCCATAGAGGAATTGATTTTTAAAGATAACTTATAAAACTTAGCTACGAAAAAAAGCTACGAAGATGTTAATCGATGCATTATTTTGACTTGTTTATAAATTGTATTTTTATGAGTTATTTTGACTTGTTTATAAAATAATCGCATTTCACAGTGGTATTCCTGGTGAGAAACAAACATTACCCATGATTCTGCAAAGAAATCAGATAATCTAAACAAGCAAATCAAGCCAAAAGAGTGTTTAGCACACTCACATGAAGCACTGAGAATGACACAGAAATATCTACAAATTTATTGTGCAAATTTTGCAATAAACAAAAAATTGTTTCTATATACATTAATCAACATCTTTATATGAATAGTTTTATATTTAACCACCATTGTGATTATTTCAATCATATAATTCACAATTTGATTGGAAAGCCATTAAGTTCAAAGTAAGTCTTATACCTGTTTTTTTTTTTTTTTGTCCGATTTTCAAATAAGCTTTTGCTTTAAATCTAGGTTTGTAATGTTGTGATGGTCCTTGTAGCTGGTTGGACTTTTATTTATTTATTTTTTTTATTTTTTTTATCTCTATGGGAAAAATACTTCCAGAACCAAGGCCACTGAAAAAAAGTGAAAAGTCACAATTTTTATAATTTGATAATGTTTCCAGCTATCAATGGTGTACTTTCAGCTTTATTTCACTAAAGTTTTCAGATTTATTTGCAGATTTGATCTGGGCATGTTTTGAAATCAATGCTAATAGGTGTGTTCGACTTGAAGCGGCGCTGTGCAGACCTATCAGTCCATGACATCAAAGTACCGCGAGCAGACGGCTCCATATGCTTTCGAATCGCTCTCACGGTACTTTGATATCATACACCGATCAGTCTGCACAGCGCCGCTTCAAGTCGAACACACCTAATGTTGTTGGCCTGATAATAATTGTGCCTTTCTCTTGGTTAACTAGCGCAGCAGATCTGAGCCTTCACCTGGATTGTCCCTCCCCCTCTAACCATAGTAGGCGGAGCTCTGTCAGTTTACCCGATTCTACAATAAGTATTGAACTCCATGGCAATGAGGTAGTCCACCGCATCACAACAAACACTTTACATATATTGTTCTTATTAGGGATGTTTCTGTATTTATATGGATTTCTGTATTTATGTGTAAATCAGGATCGAAAATTGCTGCATTTTCAAATACATTTAAAATGCATCTATTTGTTCTGTAAAATAATAATAATGATGATCATGATGATCATGATGATAAATATCAATGATCATAAATACTTATTTTTACAGTACTATAGTATTACTACAATATTAGTATATTTATTAATTTATATTTTATAATTTAAATAATAATAAAATAATAGTATTTAGTATATTATTATTTTTATTAAACACAATAGTAATATATTTTTATTGATTTTATGTTTATAATTTAAATAATAATATAAATTAAAATAGTATTTTGATTAATAAAAATAATTGTTATTATTAAAGACTATTTTTTTTACAGTACAATAGTATTATTGCAATAGTAATATATTTGTTTATTAATTTCACATGTGTGTTTTAGGCATATTTAAATGAAAGGTATCCATGCTATCAATCTCTATATTTATCGCATGTATATTTGCATCTCACGCAGGATTGTTACAGCTCATCCACAAGCCGTTTACAGCGTCTGCTGGCTGAATCTCAGGAAATGGTGGCAAGTTTGGAAAGCTCTGCCAGGAAATCTGTCAGCCCAGTGAAATCTCAAAGCCCCACAAACTGCAATGCTGGTTGTCACCTCCAAAGTAACCATGGCTATGGCAGCCACTCCCAATCCTCCACCCAGAGCCAAGAGGGAAGCCAACCATGCAGGGTATGTCCCTTTAAGAGGATGTAGGCTGTAAGTAGGGGTGGGTGATATACCGGAGACACGATTAACCGGTAAAATTTTTGGACTATCGTCTCTATCGCGGTTACACTCGTACTCATGTTGCTGTGCAGCATGGTCACGAAAGTTTGCATGCTTTTTTTACCATTGCTGTATAAAAACAAATGATTTTAAACCATTGAAGCGCACGCAGTAAGCAGCGAATGACAACTAATTTCAGTATATGCGCTCGCTCTTTGAGAGAGTTTCTGAGCTCTGTCTGAGAGACGCGCGCATATAAAGCTGCTTCTCATAAAGCGTGTGAGTATTAAACAGTGCTTTTTTGCCAACTAATTGGACTTGAACGGTTAAATACACATACTTGTGTGTCAAAGCGACCATGTCTTTGCAACATTGCAAATGTTTATGTGTCAAGTTAACGTAAACAGTTGAGTAAGAAAACCCATGAGTATATTGGATCCGTACAGTTGGTCTTAAAGTGACAACACCCAATTTACCTGCTGTCTTTATTAATAAAAAGAGAACATCTCTCAATGCTCTTTACTGAATCACTGTTGTAACTTCAATAAGAATAAATTAATATTTAATTTACATAGTGAACACTTAGCGGTGTTTTTTTAAATACATTTGATTACTTTATACAGTGCTTGTATAAAGTTTTTCAGGTTGAAAATGGTGATGAGAATAATGAAATTTCAATGCTATCAAAAATAAATATATCGCTATTGTGAAATAAAATTAGGGATGCACCAATATGAACATTTTGGCCGATACCAATAACTAATAATTCTTTATATCTGAAAGCTGATAACCGATATATTGGCCGATAAATCTAAATCCAAATTTTTTTCTGATTACAAAAACAAAAGTCTCACCATTAAATCCATGTCTCAAGCACACAATTATAATGATGTTCTCATTATAATTTTATATGCATCTGAAGTGTTTTATCTGAAGGAAGTAATCCATTATTTATCAGCTTTAACATATCAGCCAAATTGTTCTTATCGGGTCGATAACGATAACATTAAAAATGAGAATTTATCGACTGATACCGATATGGTGGCCGATATATCGTGCATCCCTAATAAAATTTTATTTTGGTCATATCGCTCACCCCTAGCTGAATGCTTACTTATTACATCACATTTGCACAATCATTTAACGCATAGTAAAATTATGCTTCAAGATTAAACTGCAACTAAATGGCATTTCCTCCTTAATTTCCTAAAGGATAGTGACTCCCAGATCAAAAGCAGCGCACATTTGCTACAAGGAAGCAAGTAATCCATAGAGCCAGGAGAACCGGCGGATCCCTGTTCATCTTCTCTTCCTGCTTCTGAAAAATAAATCCATTTTTGGCAACCAAAGAGTTTTGCAAAGCTAACATGTAATTTTTACAGATGCTGTAATTCTATATTTTTAATCAAAATCTATTTTTATGATATGTGTACTAAAATAAGCATTAGTGATTAATTCTACACAAAGCACTACCTCTGCCTGGACAGATGTTAAGACTTGTTATTTATATAAACTACTTTCTTCAAGTGTTAAACCTGTCTTGCAAGATGACATAATGGCGCTGGATGTTTTTGTCATTCCAGTTTCCCCTGTCATCTAACCTGTTTGGTTTCTAAGATAATGAACTGGTATGTGGCTCTAGTCTAGATCGTTGTTTTTTACACCTGAAATCCAGTGTTGTTCTCACAGTAAGGAGAACGAGCCATCAGCCTTTTCAAAAGCCACTGAAACACAGTGTATTTGCATAATCTCAGGACATTTAAGAGAACAATAAAAGTCTTTACATGCTATCATTGACTTGGTTGACCCTGGCCTGAAATACAATTTCAGATTGAGAAAAGGATGAGAAAGCCTGTTAAAGAAACTCACATGTTTGTGACTCGTTGACGTGACAGGTAGCTCTCAGGTGTGTGTGTGTGTGTGTGTGTGTGAGAGAGAGAAGGAGAGAGAGAGAGAGTGTGTGTGTGTTTGTCTGGACTCAATCTATCATTTGTACAATTGGTTTAATCTGAGGAAGAAGTAAAACATGGCCTCAAAGAAAACCGAATCGAAGAAAAACGAGAAAACGGAGAAGGCTTTAGCTGCGGAAAAGGAGCAATTCGTCAAACTACAGGTGAGATTTACGCACGCGCACATTTTTACCTCATTCAACGTGCATTTGATGTTCAGTGGTCACTGTTTTTTTAAATAACTTATTATTATACTTTCACTGATATTTTTTTTGTTTGTTTTTATTTTAATAATAAAATAATGTATTATGACAGTAAATAACTGAGAATTATTTCCACTTTAAAATCTCCACATTGGATCGCGTCGTCACCGCGACATTAATTACTGCATAATCCGTTGATACGTTATAAACGTAATCGTCATTATATTTTAATACATTGTTTTCATTTACATTATGTGGTTTTTGGACATGCGTCATTATAATATATATATATTTTTTACGTGTACCACGGTGATAAAATGATTTTTGGTATGTACCACAGTTTGTACCATGTTTTTGGGGGGCCTGATATAGGCTACTAGTCGGTTTAATACCATAATCTTTTTTGGGTATATGTACCATTGTAATTCCATTTGTACCATGGTAATACATTTGACCATAATATCTCTTTTTATATGCACCATGCATGGTATTTGAAGTAGCCTATACTGTTGGTGTACCATGTTAATATGTTATTATATTATTATTACATAACTAAGACCCAATACTTTAACTGTAATTACAACTTTTGTTTGTACTGGTTAAACATGTAAGATCAGACTCAGATGATATACCTGGCAACAATTATTTAGTGGTTATTCATTTGCATTTTTACTTCATTGTAATGTAATTTGTGTTATTTAATGTTTTTTTTAAATGTGTCATATTCATTCAGCATTACATATGTAAATCATTTAATGTTTTATTAATGATGTTATGTTAAATCTTTATTTCATCTGCTTTACAGCTTCAAAGCATCTCCAAATCCATCACCAGCGCGGAGGCCCCTATCAAAGAGAAATATGGACGCAGTATCCTTAAGTATAGTTTTAATACAGCATATTGTTAGTCTGATGCGGGGAGGAAGTTTAATTCATATATCTCCAATTTATAATCATTTTAATATGTATTTGTGTTGTAATGAGCATTACACACAGATGCCCAAGATTTACAGTAATAGTATGTCCTTAATGAGTTAATCTGTCTGTCAAATTTATGTTTAGTGCTTTTCACAATAAATATGGTTTCAAAGCAGCTTTACAGACAATAATGACTTTAATGTTTAATATCTTGATATCTTCATGTTGCATTTAGCAGATTAGAGCTTGGCGATAATATAGTTTACAATACATTTTGCAATGTTACAAGCAATCAACCAGTTGAGATTTCCTATATTAGAGTATATATCGCCTTATTTGATATACACTGTATGTATGCAAATAAATTTGGACATACTTGTATTTCTTACTTTATATAGTAAGCTTGGAGATAATTTAGTTACATTTAAAATTAGGCAGTTGAAATTTGCTCTATATCATCTTTGATATCTGGACTAGTACATTGTCCTTAACATTTGTACAGAGATTATTTTAGGCACACATAAGGAAGGCGGCGCCGTCACGTTCTGGTCTCATGCCGTGAGTCTGCCGCTGTCCAGCAACGCCATCCTCAGCTGGAAGTTCTGCCACATGGTGCACAAACTCCTCCGAGACGGCCATCCCAACGTCAGTCCCGTCTACCACAGTATCATCAGATGGCTTTAAGTTCACTTTATTCATCTGAAATGACCCTACACATTTTTGTTTTACTCTCTTTCAGACTTTACGGGACAGCAGAGGTCATACTGCAGGCATTGGACAGATGGGAACATTATGGGTGAGTGTCTAAAATTATCTGGGTGTTATACAGTCAATGTTATACAATCTCATATAAATCGATTATTCTTGCATTTGAATCTTTCAACTTAAATTTTGTATGCGTTTGCTGTGTTTTTAGGGGAATCTACATGATAGATATGGACATATTGTTGCGCTTTACGCCAAGCTGCTGTGTATCAAAATCGATTTCCATTTAAAGGCAGGCTTAATGTTTCCTTCAATAACATTTGAGTTCATCAACACTATCCTGTTTATATATATAGTGTCCTGTTTCCCCCACAGCATCTGGAAATCCCACCAAACCTTGAAACTCCTGAGGAAGTTCTTGATAAAGCTATCACTATTGATATCAACAAAGTGTAAGGGCATTGCTTATGATTTAGTTTCCTGAATGATCTGTTAATGGAAATAAATGCTCATGCTTGCTATTTATACAGGTTTGACATGACAGGAGAGGTTCTGGACTACATGGAAGCAGCTCTAAAGCTGCAAGAAACAGGTAAGCGTAGTGTCTTATCAAGGATGCAATAATGTTTTTAATCCAACTCGAAAAAAATGCTTTTATTCAGCAATGATGCATTCAATTGATCAAAAGTGACAGTAAATACATTTATAATGTTACATAATATTCTATTTCAAATAAATGCTGTTCTTTCTATTTATCAAAGGATCCTGGAACAAAAGTATCATTGTTTGCACAAAAACATGCAGAAGCACAACAGTTTTCAACATTGTAATAATAATAAATGTTTCTTAAGCAGTAAATCAGCATATTAGAATAATTTCTGAAGGATCATGTGACACTGAAGACTGGAGTAATGATGCTGAAAATTCAGCTTTGATCACAGGAATAAAATACATTTAAAAAAATATTCAAATAGAAAGCATTTATTTAAAATTGTAAAAATGTTTCACAATATGACTGTTTTACTGTATTTTTGATCAAATAAATGCAGCCTTGATGAGCAGAAGAGATCAACCATTCAAAAGTTTGGGTTCTGTAAGATGTTTTTATGTTTGTGTGTATAATTTATACATTTTTGATCTTTTTTAAATGCAGTTTTCCGGCAGATGGAGTCCAACTCCACCAGCTCTACCACTGCGGTGGGTCAGTGCCGTCTGGCGCCGCTGGTTCTGGTCATTCAGGACTGCGGTCCACTCTACCATTTCCTGGTCAAGCTCCTGTTCAAGCTACACAGCCGTGAGTCGTGTTCTTTACATGCTTCTCTCTTTATTTAAGTGAATGATTTTCATTGAGTTCAACAGCTGTTGTGCATATGTGTCACAGGAATACCGGCGGACGCTCTGTTAGGACACAGAGAACGATTCCGCGAGCAGTTCAACAGGTAACGGTGGTCTGCAGTCAATTTTGGTCAATACCAAAAGCCGTCAATTATGTTCGTTATTGCCAATGACCGATATTATGGTTCATATATTTATTTAAATAAACAGCATTGAAACCAAAGCTCCAGTCTAGAAATTTGAAAGAAAAAATCAGACATCAAAACATTAAAATGTACTTTTAATTAATGAAAAAAATGAAAATTCTGTCATCATTTACTCACCCTCATGCCGTTCCAAACCAGTAAGCCTAAATTCAATCTGTTCATCATATAAAGCGATTGAGCCTCTTCAGAAAATTTGAACTAAACCACTCAATTCATATGAATTAGTTTTACGATCTCTTTATGAACTTTTTGAAGCATTGTGTTTCGAAGATGAACGAAAGTCTTATGGGTTTGGATTGACATGAAGGTGAGGAATTAAAAACAGAATTTTTGGGTGGATTTAATGTTTGGCATAGAAAAAGATTTGTTGACCATATAGTACGTTTATTGGTCTGTCTTTGTCCTCCACAGTTTGACACAGTTTTTCGAGAGAGCGAGAGGGATGGAGTTTTTCAAAACTATCATTCAGATCCCTGATCTTCCTAATGTAAGATTTTCACATCCATATTTAAATGAATTTCAAATCATGTTGACTGAAAACATTTTAATATAAAAGAAACAATAATTGTCATATTGCGTAACATGTTGGACAAATGCATATGAATAAATGCTGCTTAAATTAAAGTTTCTGAACGTTTAAGGAGCCTCCGAATTTCCTGCGTGCGGCTTCACTCGCTGATCACGTGAAGCCCGTGGTCGTTCAGAACGAGAGAACACCGTACGATGACGATACGGAGACTCAGCTGGATTTTGGTGAAGGACAGTACCAGATGGTAAACACAGCCTGGAGTGCTCAAGCTTTAGCTGTAGGCCAGTAGATTGGCTCGCAGAAGGTCTTAAGAGCTTTTCTACATCTGTGACAATCTTAACATTTGATTATTTGGCTCAACAGTATTACGGTTACAACCAGTTCGACCCTCCAAGTGACATACCAGAGCAAAGGTAACGCACGCCTGAGATCTACTCGCTTTATGAGATCTATTTCATATGTATAAACGGCGAGCAAAGTTGACAAAAATTAAGTTGTGTTGATAGTTTTGATGTCTTTACTGTTTTCATAAATTGAGGAAAATAATAATAACAGTAAAAAAGAAATTGGAAGACCGAATGTTTGGCATTTCTTTTCATTTGACCTATATATCCTCAGAGAGACTGAGGCTGATACTCTGAGGAAGGAACTTGAGGTGGTGAAACCAGAGCTGGAGCTCATAAAAGTGGAGGTAAGACATTTGACTCTAATTACATCTGTCTTGAAGAAGTATTTTCTTCTGCAGTCATCCATCATTGGTGTGTCTGCAGGCCCAGCGTGTCGTGGTCCAGCTCAAAACTCAAGTGAATATGCTGGAATCTGAGCTTGAGGACCAGCGGACGCACAAGCAGATGGCGCTGGTGGAGAACGAACGTCTGCGCATGGAGGTGGAGAACCTGAGAGCACAGACCGCAGTCGCCGCCAGCATTCAGGCCACGGCCGATGACGCGGGCAGTGAGTGACCTCTGACCCCAGACACACTTTAAAAACACATACATTACCGTTCAAAAGATTTTTTGTTAACACTTTAATGCATTAACTAACATGAACTAACAAAGAGTAATGTAGTATAGCAGCGCTCCGCGAGTGAATGACAGGCGCTCTATGGATAGTAACCATGGCAACGGCTTCTGTGCGCTACGCAGCTGTAGCCTTTTTAACTTAAATTAAAATTATACATAACTTTACCTGATAGGCCTGAATTCATTATTCACTCTTGCGCTTAATGCGATTAATCGCAATAAATTCATGCGATTAATCGCGTAATCGTTGCCCAGCACTAATATTTATTTATTTTTTGTCTGAACGGCCCATAAAACTCGTACATCGGCGGCCCATTCGTTTTGTTTTGTTTAATTGGTGGCGCTGGGTTATAACTTGCTTTCAAGTATAGAAATGTGCACAAAACTTATTAGACTATTAAAGTTTCCTTTATTTTTCATTGCATTTGTTTTACAATATATGGCTATTACTGTCATGGGATTATTATTATAACTATTATTATGCAGTAGTGTAATGTAGACAGACACTGTAACAAAATAATAATAATAATCTTTATTTTATAAAGCGCCTTTAAAAGCAGCTTCTCAAAGGCCTACACAATGGGCAATTGTTAAAAAAAAAACACATCAACAAGTGAATGCAAGTTTAAAAAAGTATGTCTTAAGTTGACCTTTAAAAATGGCATAAGACTGGCTTCCCTATAGTTCAAGAGGCAGAGAATTCCAAAGGACAGGTGCATAGAAGGAAAAAGCCCTGTCACCCATAGACTTTAAGCGAGTTTTAGGAACAACCAGCATGTTCAATTGTGAGGAGCGCAATCTGCAAGAGGTTTTAATTTTTCTTTCTTAAATTTGCCCAATATGGGTTGGAGCTTTTAATTTTGAACTAACTTTTTGGCGGGGGCGCAAAACTCAATCTCGCCTAGGGCAACCAAAGGGCTAGAGCCGGCCCTGGTATAGCGCACAGATTCTTTATAATTTAGTTGTGAAATTGCCAGGGTTGTGTTTTGCACCGTGAGTTACAGGGTTACGGCGGGGAGTTTGGGAAAAGGCCGGGTAGAGAGAAATGAGCTGGTGCGTTTGTGTACAGTTGTTCCTGCGTTCCGATTAAAAGTTCAGAAATGGAGCATCCCTTGTCTGTCGTTCTTCAGACGTTACAATATTCTTACAGCATTTATTAACCTTTGTTAATGTTAGTTATTAAAAAGTTCATGTTAAGTCACAGTGCATTAACTAATGTTAGCAGATACAACTTTTAATGTTAAAATTAACATTAACTAAGATTAATAATGCTGTAGAAGTATTGTTCATTGCTCGTTCATGTTAACTAATGTAGTTAACTAATATTAACAAATAAAACCTTATTGTAAAGTGTTACTGATTTTTTTTAAAAGAAATTATTATTGTTATTCAGCAAAGATGCATTACATTAATCAAAAGTGACAGTAAAGACATTAATAACGCCAATCGTCATGATCTGTAGAACTAAAGATGATAAATGTTTGAACTACCCTGATTTTAAATTGGCTAACAAATAAGCTTAGTGTCTGTAATAAGGTGAAATACCTTGGTCATTTTATCACTGATAAAATTACAGATGATGAAGATATTTACAGGCAATGTTGCATGATGTATGCACAAGCCAATATTCTCTTACGTAAGTTTAGGGCATGTACGGTTGGTGTAAAGATATCTCTGTTTAAAGCATATTGCACACCGTTCTATACTGCGCACTTGTGGTCAAATTATAGAAAGCCAAGTCTTTTAAAATTGAAAGTAGCATATAACGACGCAATGAGAATGTTACTCACAAGACCAAGATGGTGTAGTGCAAGTGAGGTGTTTGTGGTTGCAAGAGTGAGGACCTTTCATGCTGTTTTAAGAAACCTAATGTTTAAATCCATGTGCCGGCTTAATGGGTCACAAAATGAAATAATAATGGGCTTAACTAACATACGGCTAAGTACTACACTGGTTTAATTGTCTTCTGGTAGAACAATATTTTTTATTTAGGTATGCATGTATGTATGCATGTGTGTTTATGGATATGTATTTATGTATTGTTGTGGGTAAGATTTGGACCTTGAGTCTCTAATAAAAGTTTTGATTGATTGATTGATTTATAATGTTACAAAATATTATATTTCAAATAAATGCTGTTCTTTTGAACTTTCTATTCATCTAATAATCTGAAGAAAACGTGTCACGGTTTCCACACAAATATGAAGCAGCACAACTGTTTTCAACATTGATAATAATAAATGCAGCCTTGATGAGCAGAAGAAACTTCATTCAAAAACATTCAAAAACCTTACAGACCCCACACTTTTGAACGGTAGTGTAAATGAAAATCTCACAGTGAGGTTGATCTCTTGTTCTCATGTTTTCTAGGCAGAGCTCAGACTGCTCAGATACACTTCTCTCGACTCAAAGAGAAACACGCCGAGCTGGTCAGCAGGCATGCTGATCTCATGAGGAAGGTAAAGGTTTGTGCTTATGACGACTGAATTATTTAGCTGTATTTCTCACATATTAATGACAAACAGTGTCTTTAATTTTGTCACTTGCAGCATCAATCATGTGTGAGCCTCCAGTAAGCCCGCACAAAACTCCACAAAAACATCAAAACGCATTGTAATTATGTTCCTCGTATTTCTGTGAATATGAGGCAAAATGCAAGAAATATTTCACAAATGTGTTCTGGAGATAAAAATACCTTAATTCGTTCTAGAAGTTGTTGAAATGTCGTTTTCCATGCGCTTATCGTCATTGCTAATGGTGCTGATTGCTGTGTGTGTCAGAATGCAGAGATGGTGAAGCAGGTCAACAGCTCTCAGCAAGCGCAGGACGATCTGCTCACAGCCAAACAACAGATAGTGGTGGAGAGACAACAACTGAGACAGGACAACAGCGCCCAGGTCTCACACACACTACACGTTTATCTTTATGATTCCAGTCATTCTTGAGGTTTAGAGAACTTGTCTTTACCACAACCAATAGGAATTTTTCAATGACTGATGGATGGAGATATCTGATATAATGCCTTATGTGTACGATAGTATTAATTAAATTAAAATGGCATGAAACCAAATGAGACATGCATGTACTTGCTGAAATGAAATGTTTTTATTTCATGCACACACTACTGTTCAAAAGTTTGGGGTCGGTAAAATGTTTTTGATGTCTCATTTGGAAAGAAAACTATTATTCTCAACAAGGCTGCAAAAATACAATAAATACAGTAATTGTATATACTAATTTTAAAACATACATTACAAATATAATTACAATTTAAAATAAATCAGGAGTCATCTGATCCTTCATCTGATCCATCCTGAATCACACGATCCTGCAGAAATCATTCTAATATGATGATTTGTTGCATTAAGAAACATTTAGCTATTATTAGTATCAAATTTGATACCATGATACGTTTTTTTCAGGACTCTTTGATGAATAGAAAGTTCATACAAACAGAATTTAGTTTACTGTCCCTTTTGATCAATTAAATACATCCTTGCTGAATAAAACTACGTATCTTAAAACAATTTCCTAACCCCAAACTTTTGATTTGCTCGTAATTATTTCAAAAGAGAAAATGTGCATTACCCATCGACAAGTGGGTGGAAGATTTAGTTGTACCTGATGCAGATACATCTGCCTATTTATTGGCCTGGCTGAAATATCCTCCTCTCATTAACTGAACGTTAATTTTCAGCTGGAGGCACAGAGAGCAGAAATTGAACGTTTGAAACATGAGCTAGCAACCGAAAGGGCTGAAATGTCCCACGTCCATAATGCTCTGCAGAGCAAAGAGAAGGTAGGACCTCCATCCATGCACATAAACGACTCATGTCTCTTGATTAGCATCTGAATGCATCAACACATGCCAGTATACTGTATACTGCACGCTTTCTCTGATCTTCGTGTGTGTTTGTAGGCTGGTGACCAGCTGGGAAGTGTGTTGGTGGGTCTGCAGGCGGAGAAAGAGAGGCTCCTTCGTACAGTGAAAGATCAGGAAGCTGAGATGGCTAGTCTGCGTCAGGCCGCCCAACTCCACCAGTCAATCCTACAGCAGGAGAGAGACCGACATCAGAGAGAGATGACAGCACTGCACAACCAACTTCAGGAACAAGTCTGTGCAACGTCCTGTCATGTAGAACAACTGAAATTAGACTTATAAAGAAAAGTCATATTAAAGCTGCAGTCCGTAGTTTTTCCTCTTTGTCGCCATCTCTGTCCGAAATCTGCAATTGTATTTATTCGCGGAATTATCAACTTTACGTGAGTTGTACTTCGACACGGCACAGCGCAGATGAATCCAATGTTTGAGGAGAGTGTGAGGCTGTCAGTCGCCGTGCCGGTGTGGAGACTGTCATTCAGAATCACAGATTCTACTTTTTGGAAGTATGACCAACATAGTAATTTTCACCGGAAAATGTAATCTGAACAAGTAAGAAACATCCACTTTTGTTCTGGTTCTGACATTGCAGTAAAACACGCTGATTAAATCTAACATTCGCTTATATCACGTAAAACCGTGCAAATTATACTTTGTTCTCAAATTGTTAATGTTCAACGTCAGCATTGCGTGACTACATGTAATGTCCTTCCGATATTTATCCTTGTTTTCGCATGGGCCGGTTGCAGTCTCTTTTTTTCACTCTGAAGTCCGAACGAAGTCTTTTGCGTTTTACAGCGGGTGAATCTTCAGTTGTCACTGGTGATTGTCGTTTGAACCTTTCTGGATCCGCCATCAAATTGATAAGTTTAATTATATCAAGTGCTGTGAGAAAAGGCTATAAATCTCCACCTCCAACATCCTCACACTCAATATAGCCTTCTAGCCGAGACTCCTCCTTTATGTGTACAGATGTGTGTGTACAGATGTGACGTAATGAGGCAAAGACAAGCTCGAATTTCCCGTGGAAATCCACCAGTACCACTGGAATTAAAAACATTATTACAAGCTTACCGCTTTGAATCGAGCTAAGGCAAGCAGAGAGTTTTGAACACTGGCTGGTTATGTATTTTAAATTTTTTTTTTTTTGGATCATTTTTAACCCCCAAAAAGCCTAGGACTGCAGCTTTAATCCCAATAATGTTAACTTGCATGCATTTTTTTTGCTATCACAATTTTACTCAGTGCCACAGAACAGCTTAAGAACGAGAGGTTTTAGTTGTTTGTTCTGCTGTGTTTGTGTTCAGTTGTGTCGGGAACAGGAGCAGCAGCTGGAGATGGAGAAACTGAGACGCGAGCTGGAGGAGAAGAGAGCAGAGGCGCTGCGTGCTCAGAGCGCTCTGAACACTAAAGAAACCGTGAGGACTTCCTCCTCACTAGTCTTTCTGTTACTAACATTTGCAAGTTTGGATCTTTACATTTGTGCAATTGATGCATAATGCGACTTCCCATATTCTCCAGCATGTTGACTTTTGTATTAGTGGTTAACCAATATCATTTTTACAACATCTGATGCTGATACAACATTTAGAGAGTAGGCTAACTGTACTGAAATATGATATATAATACATTTTATAATAGCAAATATTAATAGGATATAATATCATATAATATAATTAATATAAGCCATAGAATTTAATAATAGCAAATATTTATATATAGGTTTTGTAATATAATATAATTTAATATAATAAAAAGATTAGTCATGAAAAATAATATAAATATAATAGAATTTAATAATAGCAAATATTAGTATATAGGATTTGTAATATAATATAATGAACACTAGTTATACACTAATATTAAGAGTGTGGTAGTATTAGTTATAAAATATTATTGACATGTATATAGTACTAAAATATGATATATAATAAAATGTAATAATAACGAATATTAATATAATATTTTTATTATAATAAAATCTAATAAAAATATCAGTTATGAAATATGATATATAAGATCGAATTTAATAATTGCAAATATTAATATATGTTTTTTGTAAATAATATAATGTATAATACAATATAAATATTTGTTATGTCAATATTTAGAGAGTGGAAATATTAGTTATAAAATATTGTTTACATACTATGTGAAACATATTTTATAAAAGATTGAATAAATAAATAATATATATTAATATATATTCCAAAATTTTGATTATGCGCAAAATATCGAATATTTATAATAACACAGCCTGTCCAATATATACTAAGAACCAAGGGTGTAATCAGTTTGTCACCACTGGGTCACCACTACACCTTCATAACTACACATTATTTTTGTTTCGTGTGTGTGTGTTTTAGACAGGAGACCAGCTGAGCAGTGTGTTAGTGGGTCTGCAGGCGGAGAAGGAGGTTCTTCTGCGTTCAGTGAGAGAACAGGAGGCTGAGATCACTAACCTGCGCCAGGCCACCCAACTCCACCAGACCACACTTCTGCAGGAGAGAGACCGATCTCAGAGAGAGATGGCAACGCTGCACAACCAAATGCAGGCTAAGGTCAGAAAAAAACAGGATGCCTCCAAAAAGCATGCATGGAAGCATACCTCGAAAATCTGCATTCAATAATATAGGCCTTCCCTATGTACTCTGGCACAGTTTTCAAAGTACTAGGATTTGGGACACTGATAGCTGATACAATCCTGAAATATGATATATTTAATAGTAGCAAATATAATGTAATGTAATATAATATTAGTTATGCCAATATTTAGAAAGTACGCTGACTGATAGCTGATATAATACTGAAATATGATATATAATACAATTTAATAATTGTAAACATTATATTATATTTTTGATATAATATAAATATTAGTTATATAAATATTATTAAATGTCAATATTTAGAGAGTAGGCTGACTGATGGCTGATATAATGCTGAATTACGATGATTTGGGATACTTTAATCCTATTAAATTGGGCTGTATCTACTGTAGCGTGTTTTGAGGGTCTTAATTGTTGCGTCTGTGGTGTGTTTTTCTTGTGCAGTCGAGTCAGGACTCAGGAGTGTTTCAGCAGAAGCTGCAGGACGAGCAGTTCAGTTTGTTGCAGTGTGCCGTGGTGGAGGCCGAAGGCATCGTGCTGGACGCCGTGGCCAAAGTGGACGATCCGCTACATGTGCGCTGCACCAGCACCCCAGGTCTGACCTTCCTCATCCTCCTCCTCATTCCTCTCAATATCCTCATCAGTCCTTTTACTCTACACATCTCTAATCTCTGCTTGCAGATTATTTGATCAATCGGGCTGAGTTGACGTTGGCATCCATTGATAAGATGAAGCAGAGTCATGCAGCCTATTTGAGGAATAATAATGGTAAGGATGTTCTCATCAGTAAGTTACAGGTTCAGCCGTTAGTGGGATGTAATCTCTTCCTCTTCCTCTAGATGCGAGTGGTTTGTTGAGGTCGGTGACCCAGTTCTCCCATCTCATCGCTGACACTATTGTTAACGGAGCTGGCACTGCCCACTCAGCACCTACGGACCAAGCAGACCGTGAGAACCAGAATTATTCCTTACTGTTAAAAAACACACACACATGCACATGCAAATTTCTTGTGTATTCAGTGCCGTTGACATTCAAAATGAATCTTTCTCTACAAAACATTATATACAAAATATTTATAATTTCTTTAAATATTTTGCATTTACACAGTCATTTAAAGTTTTGTTCTACAAAATCCGTACCAATGATTTGCATTAGAAAATCCAGCTAATACCAGATAGTTTTACATGGTTTTAGCCGGTCCAAGCTGCTCATTTATGGTGCAAGCTGGTCTAGATATAGATAAAAGCAGATAGTTTCCATCCAAATTGGCTAAAAAACAATATACCCTTTGGCCAGTTTCAACGTCTTAGACGTATTTGCGATACCGATAATGAATATGAAGTGCAAGCTAAAGTCCTGTCCAACCGTTTTTTAGAAAGGGGCTATCATACAGAAACTGTACAAAATGCTTATAAGAAAGCCCAGTCTATTCCTAGACCAGAGTTTTTCCAGAAGAAGACAAAACGATCCTGTTTACAGAATCAGTTTCTTTTTTCTTTTTTTCATGTCTTTTAAATTTTCTATTATGAAATAGCCAGTCAAATAAAGGCTTTTTATTAATTCCTAAGAAGAGTGCCTTGGATTTCCTTCTACTACTGGTCTAGATATATTTGATCATTTCTTTAAAAACATGCTGCAAATTAACACAGTCTTCGAAGTCATTCAAAGTTTTGGATTACAAAACCCAGCTAATACCAGATGGTTTTGCATGGTTTTAGCTGGTCCAAACTGCTCATTTATGGTCCTTAAATTGTCCAAGGTTGTCTGCATATATTTAATAATTTCTAAAAATTAATTAGCAAATTAACATATTCTTTAAATATGTTCAAAGTTCTATATTACAAAATCCAGCTAATACTACATCCGTAAATGAGGTCTTAGACAAGTCTAAGCTAGTCTAGATATAATTTGTAATTTATTAAAAATAAGTTACAAATTAGCACAGTCTTATAGTTATTCAAAGTTTTGTTTTACTAAATGTGTACCACTGATTTGCATTAGAAAATCCAGCTAATACCAGATGGTTTTACATGTTTTTTAGCTGGTCCAAGCTGCTCATTTATGGTTCAAGCTGGTCTAGATGACTGGACTGTCAACCTTAGACCTGGTTGCAACTTGGTAGACCATATTAGTCAAGCTAGTTAGAGCTGCTTTACCATCTTGAATCAGCAGCAAATCATTTACCATGCTACAAAAACCATCTTGACCACCTTATGCATATATTTCCTGATGCACTTTTGGTTCATTTCTCCATAGGTTTGACGGATAACTGCCGGGATTGTGCCACTCAGTGTCTCCAGTACCTGAAAGAGCTGAAGATGAAGGCCACGCTCCCGAGAGCAGACCCCACTGCCGTCCGCTACGTGGTCCAGCGTATCCTCAACCAAGGACAGGTGCGGTGGGCCAGAGATGGCATCTTCAGACTTTATATGTTGCTAGTGTTTGTGTGCAGTAATAAGTGACCCCTCTCCCGATCTTTCGCAGGACCTGCGGCCCAAGGGAGCAGACGTGCGGAAGGAAGAGTTGGCAGATATGGTGGATAAGGAAATGGCTGCGACTTCCTCTGCCATTGAAGATGCTGTGCTGAGAATGGATGTAAGTTAGCACCGTGTTAATGATGCTGGATTCAACTCGAGGATCATTTGCTATGACTTCATGGGTTTTTCTTATGTAACACAGGAAATATTGAGCCAGGCAAGACGAGATACTTCTGGAGTGAAACTGGAAGTTAACCAAAGGTTTGTTTGGGATATAGTTTCATAGATAACATAAAGTTTGTAGGTTTTTTTTGTGTAATGTATTTCAGTTTTCGTGTTTTGTTCTATTACAGCATCATTGGCTCCTGTTCGGATCTAATGAAGGTATGTTTAGACTTACCGAGATGAATGTGTTAATACACTGTTGTTCAAACGTTTGAAAGAAATGACTTTTATTCAACAAGGACACATTAAATTGATCAAAAGTGACTAATGTTACAAAAATATACATCTTAAATAAATGCTTTTCTTTGAAACTTTCTAATTATCAAAGATTTCTGAAAAAAAGAAAGAAAATGTATCACGGTTTCCACACAAATATAAGGCAGCACAACTGTTTTCAACATCGATAATAACCAGAAATGTTTTTTGAGCAGCAAATCAGCATTTCTGAAGGATTGTGTGACACTGAAGACTGGAGTAATGATGCTGAACGTTCTGTTTTGCATTTTAAAATATATTCAAAAACACTTATTTTAAATTGCAATAATATTTCACAATATTATTCTTTTTACTGTATTTTGATCAAATAAATGCAGTCTTGTTGAGCATAAGAAACTTCATTCAAAAACATTCAAAAAATCGTGCCAACCCCAAACTTTTGAACGGTGCACATCAAGGTAAATGTAATTTTGAATCTCTTCTGTCACCTTGTCCATAGGCTATACACATGTTGGTGACGGCCTCTACTGACCTGCAGAGAGACATTGTGAAAAGTGGCCGGGTAAGATTTGGTTATATGAGCAATTTAAGATCATAAATAATATGCATTCACACTCTAAAACACAGGGTCTTGTTTCGGTCTTAGGGCGCCGGTTCTGATAAAGACTTTTATGCTAAAAATTCCCGTTGGACGGAGGGTCTCATCTCTGCGTCAAAGGCTGTAGGATGGGGTGCAACGCAGATGCTGTGAGTACATTTGAGTGTAGATTTCAACTTTTAACCTGTATTTATTAGTGTGCGTCTGTATAACTGATTTGCATTCTCACAAAGTGAATCGGCTGATAAAGTCGTGACTGGTGGAGGAAAATATGAAGAGCTGATCGTCTGCTCTCATGAGATCGCGGCCAGTACGGCACAGCTTGTCGCTGCTTCAAAGGTAAAATCCATGAGAGAGATATAAGTGTGCTTTCAATCCAATCAAATCAGTTTATTCTGACACATCAATCCTTCATTTAACAGGTAAAGGCGGATCGAGGCAACAAGAAGCTCCATACTTTACAGCAGGCGTCCCGCCACGTGAACGACATGGCCGCTGTTGTGGTGACCTCTACCAAGTCAGGACAAATGCAGATTGAGGACAAAGGTGAGTGTCATGGACACAAATGCAAAAAGCATGAAACACACTCTACGCAAGTAGCGAAGTTTGTACCAGAAAGCACTTTAAGTTGGTTATTTTTTCCCCCCCACAGACTCCATGGACTTTTCTGGCATGTCTCTTATAAAGCTCAAAACAGAAGAAATGGATTCCCAGGTTAGTTTATCAAAGCGAAAAAATGATAGTGTTTTAGGAGTAAAGTGCGCCACAGAAAACCAGTGTCAGAAATTTTCCTTTAAGGGCCAATATTTGCCCCCTGAATTGATTTACATAGGCCTTTTTTACCCTCGTAAGGGCCATTTTTATAATTACTTTGAAATGTATCTCTGTTGTCTTTTATTTAAAATACTTAAATTTAATCATTTATATCAATCAATCAGAATACTATTAGAATTATAATTACTATTATAATTATCAGAATACCAATAAAATGATATCAACACCAACAAAAGCCATCTTTACATTGCCAAGGTGGAACAGACATGGCATTTATGCTGTTTAATGAGATTGCATACATGTATTCACATAACAATTGCATTATGTAAATAGCCAACATCAAGTATATCAATTCTAAAATGAAAAAAACAGGAACTCATGACAGGGTAGGGCTGTAAAATCATTATTGTCGATAAAAAATAAGAAAAAGTAGAAAAACAAAATGGAATAAATTATATACAGAAAGCAAACAAATAAAGTTCCCCATTACTGAAGCGGTCCGTGTCTTCATTGTACCGTGAGTTATGTTCTCTCACAAAAACTCCCATTACAATCACTGAAGCGAAATTAATCTCTTACTCGTATTGTGTCGGCACTTTGTTGATTAGGATGAGAGAATTCGCTAGAGCGCACATTCATTTCCGACCCTGCTGCAAACTCACATTTAACACAGAATCAATTCTGAAACGAAAATGTTGTTTAGACCATCTAATTAAATCCTAGATGATCAAATCAAGTCATTTTGCAAGGAAAATGATTTGGAAATAGCATTTCATGCATAAACATAAACTCCTGTTTGTTTCTAGGTGAAAGTGTTAGAGTTGGAGAAGCAGCTGGCGAACGAGCGCGTACGGTTGGGAGGGCTCAGGAAAAAGCACTACGAGATTGGAGGGATCCCAATGGACTCGCCTCCGGAGAACGCAGTCAATAGTTTTGACAGTTCACTGCCTACTGTTTTTCCTGACCCGCCCACAATGGAACTGCCCAGTCTGGATGTGTTCACACTGGATCCAGCCAGATTCGAACCACTGAGACTGGAGGACCCACCCAGACCGGATCTCCCCACACCCGAACCAGCCAAAACCAGCTCTAAACGAACCTCAATCTTTCATAAATCAGGTAGCATCCTCAAGAATCCAGTAAGTTTTAACCCCTTTACCTGTTTTTCCAGTGTCAATATTGCCATTATAACGACATTCAGACATTAAGTCGTTTTTCTTCTTTTATTTCCTACAGTTTAGGTGAAAGGTGACCTGGATGTATAAAGAAGAAACCATCTTATAATAATGTACATTATTCTGAAGCGCATCATTAGAGTCTCTGTATCCTCCTGCATGGGTTTGACAATACCGTATGGTGTGAATAAAAGATAATGCCTTTCAATTTATATTATAATTTAAATAATCATTTAGTGAGTTATCCTTTTTATCAGGTTTTTATTTGTTTTCCAGGCTATTTTTGTTTATGGCTGGTTCTATATTTGGGATCTTTTTACACATGTTAGTTTTTTTTAAGTAAATGTACTTAAAGTTGTACATGCAAACTTAGGCAAATAAAAAAAGAATTAATTATGTTGTGAAAGTGATGTTTGTGTTTGTTGCTTTTAATACCAGTATGATAATTAACCATGGTTTTAGTACAAATAAAAAAAACAAATAAAAAAACATGGTTAATATAGTTAAACCATGGTAACTACAAATTAACCACGGTGTTACTTCACTAACCATAGTTTAACCATGGTATTTGTAGGAAAACTGGTTATACAAATGGTAATCAATCCGCCAAAAACATGGTTACTACACTTTTACTATATTAAAAACATGGGTCTTTTTTTCCCCTTTTTTTTCTTCTTTTTTTTTACAGATGGAACAAGACATTTAAAACATGTTACATTAAAACTGTGAATACAAACACAATTTAATATTCTCATTTAATATGAGTTTATAAAAAATAATTACACATACAATTGTAAAATGTTTACAATATTTTTGCGTTCGTGTCACACTGTCACTGCTTGATATGTTCTGTCAACTACCCGTTAATACTTTGATATAACAAAATTTAACGTCTTATCAACACAGTTAAACTACCCTAGAACAATAATACGGTCAGTGCGGCGCTTGACAGTGATTTCACATTCACAGCGGCCTCAGCTGTGCGCATGCGCAGTCGATGAAGCGCCGCTCAGGAATAAATAAGGGCAGGGAAACCGAACCGCAATGGGACAACTCTTATCTCGGTCCAATTCGGCCTAAAAATACCCCAAAATGGCTTTTATTCTTGACGAGGTGTTGTTAGCGAGGTGTTAGGGGGCTTTGAAGATCTGTTTGGCTACTGAAAGGGACTGAGAAAGTTTAGAAGGAAACGAACTTCAGGGACGTAACGTTCCAGAGACGGTCATGGAGGATTTCGGTTCGGCGCTGGAGAAGAACGTGGCGGATCTGACCGTGATGGACGTGTACGATATCGCCGCAGTGGTGGGTCAGGAGTTCGAGCGCATTATCGACCAGTACGGATGCGAGGCTCTGTCCCGCCTCATGCCCAAAGTGGTCCGGGTGCTGGAGATCCTGGAGGTTCTGGTGAGCCGGAACAGCATCAGCCCAGAGACCGAGGAGCTGCGCCTGGAGCTGGACCGACTCCGACTGGAGCGGATGGACAGACTGGAGAAGGAGAAGAAACATAAAAAGGTGCTTTTATAGACTCGAGGAATATATATATATATATATATATATATATATATATATAATACACTATAAATATTGAATACTACTATATACACGCACATATATTATATAAACAAAAACTTATTATTAGATGCGATCTTACTGCACTTATTATATATATATTATATATACATATATATATATATATATATATATATATATATATATCAAATTTAAGATGTGTATTTTACATACAGTTATAAATATATTAATGTTTATATTTATTGTATTTAATGTCAATATTTTATATGTAATTAATATTACACTAATAAATATGTGTAATTTAATATATAGATTGTAAATTATTATTATTAACATTATATATATATTAAATGTTTATATATAAATAATATTCATTTATTATATGTAATTACTATTCATTAATCATTAATAACATTACATATATATACAGTTTTTTCCTACTACTTCTACTACACGTCACATCACATTATGAAGTTGTTTCAGAAGTGGTGTTTCTGAACAAAGCAGTGTGTACATGGGAAATTCTAAGTTCCTGCCCTGGACAGGAAATGATGGAACTGAACCACAGTCCATCACCATCATGTAACATCGCGTCCACTGGGACAGTGAACACATATCAGATTTATTTACATGGTACTTTATGGTGCTTTAAAGAATACCATGTCCATGGTATTATGGCAAGTGTAGCACCTAAGATTCTCACATAATATAAAAATAATTTAGTTTTTACATTAATATCTGCATATGAGCAGACAAATGAATTAGGGCTGGGTGGTAAATCGAGTTTGATCGATATATATATATTTTTTATAATCGGGCAGTACTGTTTATATCGATATATACAGTAGTTTGGTATGAGCGCATCTGAAAAAGAGCCCAATAATTCTGACTAAAATAGCTACATTTTGCTAAAATATTTGTTGTTGGACAATAAATGTGCCATATGTAGGATTTTAATCCTACAAGTGAGTGTATTGTATGATAGCAGTTACTGTAAATTGACAATTGTAATGAGGTAATTAAATAACCTAATATAATTAGTCTGTGCCATTGTTTTCATTCATTTTTATTTTTAGTTTAGTACATTTAAATTGTGCTCAAAAAAGCATCATTTTGTTTTTAGATTGTAATGATTCAGTGTTTAGAACGTAATGTGAAATTAAACCTATTTTTGCACATAATATATAACATAGCCTACATGTTTACATTCACGATATTTGTTTTCATTGCCTTCAATATGAACACTGTAGGATAACACTGGGCAGGATTGTGAAATAACTGTTTTTTTTTTTTTTTATAAATACAGATTTTTTTTTATTTATTATCTATAGAGAAATGTAGAAAATACCAAGTGTATACTATATATTGCCATTCAGTCAAGATATTAGTTTTTTGGCCATATCGCCCAGCCCTGAATACAGCTTTTTTCCTTCTGTGAATATGTTATTATGCTCCTCCTGCTTTGTGTGTTTTTTGCTTATTGTTTCAGACATTACGTAACTCCAGTGAAGGTCAGTTGTTAAATATACACTCATGTATATTTTATGAGCCACTTCTGAAATGTGTGTGTGTGTGTGAACAGGAGCTGGAGTTGGTGGAGGATGTGTGGAGAGGAGAAGCCCAGGATCTGTTGTCCCAGATCTCCCAGCTGCAGGAGGAAAACAAAACACTGCTCAACAACCTGTCCGTCAAAGAGTATCCGATGACGGAAGAGGACATACAGAAACAGGAAGGTAGTGTTAAAGCTCAGTGTTCATAAAAAGAAAGCATTGTGTCAGTCTCAAACGGTGTCGAACTCTATATCCCACAATGCACTGCGCTCCACTTGATCTTCCATTTCCAATGTGATGAAGTACAACCGTATTTGACTTATTTGATAAGGCATCCAAAACAAAATGTTACACAAAATTGTATTAAAAACACAAAATGACACAAAATATGCACTATATAGTCAGTAAGTATTCCATTTGAAACGTAGCCAGATGCTGTTTTCCCAGCATGCCTGTACCGGATACAAAGCAAACACATGTGATCATGCCCATAGGAATTCTCTCACATTCTTTCAGCCATTTAGGAACTGACACAAACGCTGCACAAAGCGTCTCCTTCTCCATGTGACAGAAGACGAGGCAGTGCGATTACTGCACGAGCAGCACAGAGACGCCACAGTGCCTCTGACACACTCACTGCCGTCAGAACAGGCTCTCTCTCAGTCTGATTCAGTGTCAAACGCAGAGCGCAGCTGTTTACACAAACATTCCAGCGCCGCTCTCAACACTGATTTAAAAATGCAAAGAGCTATTTGAATAGAATGCAGGAAATTACTTGTATCATAGGCTCCTCAAAATAATATTCTGGATCATTTACAGCTTAATGTATATGGACAGCACCTGTGATTATATATAAATGTAATAATAATTATATAATATAAATTAATATATTAATATTAAAGTGTATATATATATTGATAAGCATCTGCTTATCAAAAATGAATAAATGTTAATATAAATATATTAATGATGTATATTAACGTATTTAATAATAACGTCCCAAAAAATCCTATCATTGCATCCCTAATAAATTTTTTTTGGCCGATACCAATATTTGTAACTTGCTCACTTATTTGAACTTTTGTCATTAAAGGGTTAGTTCACCCAAAAATGAAAATTCTGTCAGTAATTACTCACCCTCATGTTGTTCCAACCCCGTAAGACTTTAGTTCATCTTCGGAACACAAATTAAGATATTTTTGATTAAATCTGAGAGCTGGATCACTCCTCCATAGGCTTCTTAAGGGATTGAAACTGGCCGGCCCAAAAGTTATGAAAGACATCGTTAAAATAGTCCGAGTGACTACAGTGGCTAAATCTTAAGTTTATCAAGCGACGAGAATACTTTTTGTGCGCAAAAAACAAACAAAAATAACGCCTTTATTCAACTATTCATTTCCTTCTCTGTGGGCCGTGATATTTCACGTACTGAAACTACGCAAAGCTTCTAGGTTGCACGTCACACGCATCACACACATGACCAGCGTCGGCCAATAGTGAGCCTGCGTGTGACGTGCAACCTAGAAGCTTTGCGTAGACACTACGTGAAATATCACGGCCGTACAGAGAAGGAAATGAATAGTTGAATAAAGGCGTTATTTTTGTTTGTTTTTTGCACAAAAAGTATTCTCGTCGCTTGATAAACTTAAGGTTGAGCCACTGTAGTCACTTGGACTATTTTAACAATGTCTTTCATAACTTTTGGGCCGGCAAGTTTCGATCCCTTAAAAAGAGTGATCCAGCTCTCAGATTTAATCAAAAATATCTTAATTTGTGTTCCGAAGATGAACGAAAGTCTTACGGGGTTGGAACAACATGAGGGTGAGTAATTACTGACAGAATTTTAATTTTTGGGTGAACTAACCCTTTAAAGCAGACAGACATCCAGAAAGCCACGTCTCAAACAGCGCGCGAATACTGAAATGAGGTCTGTTTTCATGTCTTCTTGCGCTTGAACGTCCGTTCAAGCGCAAGAAGACATGAAAACAGAGCTCATTTGTATATTCACCCAAAATGATGTCACACAAAATGATGTCAAAAATGCCCGTCTCGGCAAGTATCCTAGTAAACACAGTCAGTTATGGCTTGAGTGAACGTAAACAGTTGAGAAAGAAAACGCATGTGTACAGTATCAATGGATCTGTGCATTAGCTCTTAAAGTGACAGCAGCCTAATATTCCTGATGCAGAGAAAAAAGCACTCTCTGCTCTTGACTGAAACTTTAATAAGGATTAATCTGTTTAATTCATACAGTGAAGACTATCTAGTGTTATTTTACATTTGATTACTTTATTTAATGTCTCTACCTGAAAACTACTGTTACTTGTCTTTAATAATGTTCTATACAGAAGCGTATTGCATTCACTTGAGGAAAAAAATCTACTCTGTTTTTCTGAATTAACGAGTTAATATCTCAGAATTATGAGATAATTTTTTCTTGAAAAACATTTTTTTTCACTCTGTTTTTATGAATTAATGAGTTACTCATAATTTTGAGATAATTAACTTGTTAATTCAGAAAAACAGAGTAGATTTTTTTCCTCAAGTGAATGCAATATGCTTCCGTAGTTTTAAATTTATGTTAGGTTAGTAGTTTTAGCTGTGGTATCGAAATTGGAATAGAGAATTGTGAATTTTAGCTGGTATCTAAGTCATCAGCCATTGGCAGGTGTGGCAAAAAGTTAGTTTTAGGCCCTATAATTAAACTTATGTTGTATTTAACTCTGAATATTCGTTGAAGGCCGGCAACACGTTATATTTCTAGGTCATGACAAACATGAAGTGTGTCAGTGGTTGTGTGTCAGATGCTCTGCACGGACACAGATCTATTTTAAGAGCAGCAACATGGGCACTCAGACAAGAAGTTATTTGCTTACAGTGTCCGTCAGACTTCTTGTGTCTTTCCAGTGACCTGGTCCATGCAAAACAAGAACCTAACCCTGAAACTTCCTGCAACTAGTGTGCCGATAAAAAAGGCCCAATATGTTATCGATTAAACATGCATTATATTTTGATGTTTCTTTGAATGTCAGTTCTCTGTGTAGTAAATAAGGCTGTTTTTAATTTGTGATGCCAGGCATGACTGAGAGGGAGCGGCAGGTGATGAAAAAGCTGAAGGAAGTTGTAGATAAACAGCGAGACGAGATCCGCGCCAAAGACCGCGAGCTGACGCTCAAAAACGAGGACGTTGAAGCGGTAAGGGGCTCTGTTTCTGATCAAAACCCATTAGAGCTCTGATTCAACTCAAGAAAACAAGACAGAAAGATGTCAAAGTCTTCATCAAAATGTAATGAGTCTTTTTGCAGGATAAATAATCAAAGTTTCACTCGGAGATTCATCATATTGTGGATGTTTAAAGGGATACTTCACCTCTGGGAAGATGAATGTGTATTTAAAATGGGTCATTTATGTAGAAGAAATGTGAAATTATTTTTGAATTTGGAGCTTTCTAGACTGAGAAAAGCCAGAAAATGTATTTTTGGCTTATGTGGATGAAAGACAACAACTCCCAGAATGCACTTGCTTTGCTGCCCTAGGAGGCCACGCCTACCGGTAACAGAGCGCAGTAGTTAAACAACAAGTCTAGGCTACTAGTGAGTCTCCGTGATGAGTCTGCCCAGGATTTCGAGATCGCCCAAAATGTCCGGGATTCGGCTTTTGCGTTCTACAGTCGCCATTCATCATGTTTACTGTGGAGAGCAGGACGAGTGAGGGCCGCGGGAGAACGGCGCGAGGCCGGTGGCGTGATTACTGATGAGCGACACCTGTGAGACGCACCGGTCTCGTATCTCTCACGGAGGAGCGGGAATTTTCTTAGCAATGTTAAAACGCACATCAACCGATCACTTGTTTAGCGTTCATGCAAACACTACATTCAGATTCACCAATCGGAATGAATTCAGTTAGATTGAAACAAAAGGTGTGCATGTAAACAATGAATGGCGACTGCAGAAAGCAAAAGCTGAATCCCGGGCATCGACGGCCGGACATGTCCGGGAAAAAGAGGATGGTAACCCCTACTACTCAGCTTTCTCCACAGAACAAGAGCCTGCTAGCTTAGCTTCCAAAAAAAGATGGCTGACACTATGTGTACATTCTGTGAGTGAGATCCCACCCTCTATGGGCGGGTTGAGGACATGCGGGACAGCCCCTACTACTGACTCTAGTCTTTAGCCTCTGGCCAAAAAATCCTCCGATGACGCAAAATGACGATTTTTGCGTCATCGGAGGATTTTTTCCAGACAAAAAATACATAAATCTCTCCTCTCAGGGGGATATGAGGGTGGAAAGCACGGTAATTCGAAAATACTACAGGTTTTCTACTAATACAAAGCTCAATGCTAAATCCTGAAGTATCCCTTTAATGCATTGCAAATGCTGTTGAATGTCTTCCAGCTCCAGCAGCAGTTGAACCGGCTGATGAAGATCAACCATGACCTGAGGCATAAGATCACGGTGGTGGAGGCCCAGGGTAAATCCCTGATCCAGCAGAAGGTGGAGCTGGAGGCGTCTGGTCAGGCAAGACAGCAGGAGCTCGGGAACCTGCGGCAGGAAGTGACCCGTCTTAAGGAGCGACTTAAAGAGCAAGGCAAGACCAGCGCTGAGACAGAGGAGCCTGTAGGACCACCCTCACCTGCAAAGGTACATGATGAAACACACAAATGTGTTTTTGCAAAACGGATATAAATCCGATCTTCAATTCCCGCGCTATATGCAGATTTAATGGAGTCCAGTCACGGAAAGCAACAGATATGAGCTGCATTTTATTGATCATAAGCTAATTTCAAAATCAAAGACGGCAATAAGAGAGAGCGGCAACAGCCCTGCTAAGATCATTTCGTTTCTTTACTTTTAATGAAGATGATTGTGTGTTAAGCGTCTGACTTACTTTCACTTTGATTTGCGATAGTTTGCGGCGCGTTGGCTTGTTGAATAGACACTCAGCTGCTCATCTGCGGTTATGCGTGTTGCTGTAGCGTCGTCATATGTGACTATAACATGACATATAGCCTATATAACACACTCTCACACGTTTATTTTTTAGCAATTTTGGGTGGAGTAAAATTTACATATGTGGTTTCAACAACCAGATGCATTTACACTTGTCCAGTTTCGTCTGGAATGCGGCCCAGACCTCCTCCTGATGTGGTTTGAGCGATCGGATTCAAATCCGTCTCGAATGCGTTTCTGAGGGCATTTACACCTGGGGCCTCATGTACAAAGACTTGCGTTGAATTCATACTAAAACATTGCGTACGGACAAAGCTGTAAATGTGCGTACGCACAAAAAAACCCAGATGTATCTGGTCCCACGCATATTCTCTTTGTACATCCCAATTAACGTAAAATTGAGCGCACATGCACGAGCACAACGCCCCACCCAGTCTCCTCCCCCAATTAAATTAGTTTAAATATGGTAATTAGTCCAATTTGGCAAAAGAAACCTGCAAGAACATGGCTAAAGCAAGCAAGAAACGAAATTTCACTGAAAACGTATTCTGTGTGAAAGTGTAATTTATTCCTGTGATCAAAGCTGAATTTTCAGCATCATTTCTCCAGTCTTCAGTGTCACATGATCCTTCAGAAATCATTCTATTATGATGATTTGATGATCAAGAAACATTTTTGAGTATTATCAGTGTTGAAAACAGCTGTGCTTCTGCTTCATATTTTCGTGGAAACCGTGATATAGTATTTTCAGGATTCTTTAATGAATAAAAACTTAAATCAAACAGATATAGAAATCTTATAATCTTTTGTAACATTATAAATGCATTTACTCTCACTTTTAAACAAATTCAATGTGTCCTTGCTGAATAAAAATATTACTTTCTTTTTTATTTTTACTGACCGAATTAATGAAGTTTATTTTTTATTCCTAGTTAAGCCAACACTGCCATTGCTAGACGGGTTGTATCAATTTGCACATGCTTTATATATGTTCTTACTTAATTGCATAATGACACTCGTGTGACAATAATATGTCAAATAATTTATCAATTACAAATTATAAGCAATATCTGACAGCTGGTGGTGCGATAGAACAATTCGTAGTGTAATGTTTGCCACTTCACTTTATTGCCTCTATGAGTCGCCAACGGACAAAAATCCCGACAAATGTACGTACGCCAGACATGAAGTTTACTTGGAGGAACGCACATTCTTAAGTTAATTTCACTGTTAGTACATCTGGCCGTGAACGTGAAAGCTGACGTACGCCGTGTTTTTGTGCGTACACAGTGTTGATACATGAGGCCCCTGGTCTTTTCACGATCGGATAGCTATGCGATCACAGAAAACGCATGAAGTGGCCAGGTGTAAACAGCCCCTTAGACATGCATGTTGTTTAGCAACTCATGAAATGTTCTGCTAATGCTGGGGCCACACCACAAGATATTCGGGCCGATTTCTCCCCTTCCTACAGTCCTAAGTGAAGTCCCGATTATCTTATCAGATTTTCCTGTGGTGCGAGGTGTGTTAAGAGTGACCGAACCTGCTCGGAAGAACGATCGCGAATCGTAAATATTCAACATGTTAAATGCTTACGATCAGAAATCCTGATGTGTGGGGGCAAACGCGCACATACTCTTTTGATTGTCAGGTGACACGAAAGCATTAATGGGTTATGAAATTTAATTTTCCATTGCGTCTTTGCTTGATTCCAATGCATTGAGCCACTTCAGTGTTCAACTGCAGCATTCAGTCATTTCTATTTCTATTTAAAGGAAGTTTAGTAAGAAGTAAGTAGGAAGAAGTAAGTGTGATATAAAGCATTGGAATGTTCACATGGTGACCATAATGAGTCAGAATGAAACATCAGTGAGTCACAGTCACAGAGGAATCTAGGATGAGAAGATAAACCAGTAGACAGTGTATTTGAGGTGCAACTATTTATTAATTAGGGCTGCCAGGGTTAAATTGTGAACTTTTGGGATTCATTAAATATGCTTAATTTAAAGCAGTTCGCACATATGCTTGCATTTAAACAGATTGTTTATCAGCAAATGATGATGGAAAAGGTGCATGGTGCGTTTGTTTAGGAATCAAATGCAGTTGAGATTTTAAAACAGAACTAAGTAAAGTCATTGCAAGTTTGTTCAAAAGTTTGGGGTCGGTGAGATTTTTAAGTCTCTTATGCTCACAAAGGATTTGCTGCTCAAAAACAGAAACATTTATTATTATTATTATCATGTGTAGAAATCCGTGATACATACTTTTTCAGGATTCTTTTCAAAAGAACAGAAATCGATAAAGAAATAGAAATCTTTTGTAACATTACAAATGTCTTTACTGTCACTTTTGATCATCTTGATGCATCCTTTCAGAATAAAAGTATTAATTTCTTAAGAAAAAATCTTAATGACCCCAAACTTTTGAATCGCAGTGTTTAAGGTGCAAATATATATTATCAATGGCTGCCAGTGTTCATTTGAGTGTTCAGTGTTCATTCAACTCTGAATTTAATGTTTAACGCAGTTACATTTATGGCAGTTCGCAAATTTACTTCATTTGACATTGGCTTGTATTAGTAAATAATGGCGAGAGAACAATTGCATGGTACATTTGCTTAGAAATCAAATTCATATGAGATTTAACAAACACAGAAGTTATTTTGGACAATTTTGAATGAATTTAATTATTATCATAGCTTAACATTCTTATGCATGAAATATCAAAATTTGAGACGAATCACAATAATAATAGCAAAAAGTCATGAGATTAATTGTGATTGTTTTAATCTTTTAATATTATGTAGTGTGAAAGACTGCATTTTTTTTGTTTTGGCAAAGAAAACTCGAAAGAAGAAATGAAACCCCTTTTTCAAAAATTGTGCTAGATTGTGTTTTTATAACTCTCATTTTGTGCCAATTTGTTCCGTTGTTTATTTGAACTATTCACCCAAACAAACACTCCAGATAAAATGTCGGTTGCAATTTGCAATCCACATGTTTGTAACCACAGTCGACTAAAGCGACCCCTTCCTGGGGTCAGGATTTAGCTTCTGAGCTCCTCGCCGGGGGCCTGGAGATCGAGGAGGGTCCCCTCCGTTTCACCCCCCACACAGGGGCCCCGGGAGCCCTGACAGAAGACAGTGAGGAGGAGGAGGATGATGATGAAGAGGCTGTGTTTTTAAGGGTAACCCTGCAGCGGCAGCTCTAAGGATAGCATGGAGTGTAAACTAACACCTGACCCATATCTGCGACTGTTTGCACGAGTGTGTGCAGCTGGTCCTGTACCAGCATACAACAGACCGTAAGAGTAGTGCACTAATGGCTTTAGTCCTTCACACAGATACACACTCATTGTGAAGAGTGTCAGCTGGCGAATGCCTGACTGTAAATGCAGCCTGCATGTGTGAAAGTGTTTGCACTGAATGCAAACCATGTGACTGAATTAAATGTTAACTCATTGATGATCATGAGATCATAGTAGATCATAACAGAGAGCGTGTGGTCTACTGTAAAATAAAAAAGGCACCAATCATGTACTGTAGTTCATTTACATTTACAATCAGAGTCACCTGTCATAAACCTACAATGGCCGTGTGATATGAAAGCAAAGGGGATGTTGTGTGAAAGAGCCCTTTTTTAAAAATCTTGCTGACATATTTCCCATTGAAACAGGAAGTACTCAACAGCTATTCATCATTTTATCTATTTCTTATGTACTCTGGGGGTCAGTAAGATTTTTAATGTTTTTGAAAGAAGTCTCTTTTGCTCACCAAGGCTGCATTTATTTAATCAAAAATACAGTCATATTTGGAAATATTAGTACAATTGTAAATAACTGTTTTCTATTTGAAAATAATTTATTCCTGTGATTCAAGGCTGATTTTTCAGCATCATTTACTCCAGTCTTCAGTGTCACATGATCCTTCAGAAATCATTCTAATATGATGATTTTCTGCTCAAGAAACATTTATTATTATTATTATCAATGTTGAAAACAGTTGTGCTGCTTCATATTTCTGTGGAAACCGTGATACATATTTTTCAGGATTCTTTGATTAATAGAAAGATCAAAAGAACAGCATTTATTCAAAATAGAATCTTTTGTAACATTATAAATCTCTTTACTGTCAATCAATTTAATGCATCCTTGCTAAATCAAAGTTTTCTTTAAAAACGTCTCACTGACCCCAAACCTGTGAGGTTTATATGTAATGCAGTAGTGCATATGTAAATGTTTATTAACTTTTAGGAACATATCAGTTGTCAGATATGAACTAAAAGCCAGCAAACTCTAATTTCAATTTTATTGGGTCTTTAGAAACAACTGAATGTGTCTTGTGGTGTGTTTTCTGTTGTCCAATAACAGCAGTGACACCAGGTGATATCTGCTCTGATAATGAAAATGTGTGTGTGTGTGTGTGTCTCTAGTTTAAAGCAGCCTGTTGTTCTGTATGAAGACTTGTGTATGTGACTGTAAGTGTTCCTCTGATCCACCAGGAGGCGCTGTGTGATGATGACATGTCCACTCTAGATCCAAAAGACCCGAACCGCCCGCGATTCACCCTGCAAGAGCTGCGGGACGTCCTGCATGAGCGCAATGAGCTGAAAGCTAAAGTCTTCATGTTGCAGGAGGAAATCGCCTATTACAGAAGGTTAGCAATCTAAAGTTTTACAATTTGGTCAGTCATATGTTTTAAGAAATTTCATATATTCATGAAATGTTCTTAATTATAACTTATTATTACAAATAATATAATATATATAGTTTTTGATAGTATATATTAATTATATGACTGACTACATGAGTATGTATGTATATATATATATATAAAATGTATGACTTATTTTTTAATCACATTTACAGTGAAGAACAGGAGGAGGAAACAGGGCCGCCGCTGCCAGATCTCTCTCCTACCCTTCGGCCAAGCTCTCGCTCCAACTTTCAGCCCGAGTCGGGGATAAAACGACTGTGCGTACCGCTAAAAGATCCAAACTTCTACACACACTTGCACATACATATATTACAAGTATAATTAATCCTCTAAATCAGCACCATTTTGGTCTTGTGTTGAGAGCACATATGTTGCTTAGGTTTAGCATAGGAACAGAGCTAAACTGTTGTTTAGGCTGAACTATGTGCGTCGCGGGTAATGATTTAGATGTTCATGCATTTCTCAAGTCATGTCATATTTATTTATATAGCACTTTTCACACATTACACATCGTTTCAAAGCAGCTTTACAGAAAATCATGGTTAATGTTTACAATATCTTAATACATACCTGTCAACACTCCCGTTTTCCCGGGTTTCTCCCGTTTTTTAGCCCTATCTCCTGGACCCCTCCCGGTTTGTTATTTCTCCCGGGAAACTCCCGTAATTTGCATGGCCCAAACTCCTTTATGAATAATCGGACCAATATGTTTGTCTAATGTTGACCAGTTGCCAGATCTTGTATTAAATGCATAATATTCACACAATCCACACACCATATACAATTTCAAACCGTTTGTCATCTCAACCTGGCAACCTATAACCCAGTTGCGCAGTCGCGGAAAGCTTAACCCGAAAGCGAGCACAAATCTCCCGGATTTTGAAAACCAAATGTTGACAGCTATGTCTTAATATCTTCTGGCTTGGTTTAACAGATTAGAGCTGGGTGATAATATAGTTTTGTGACGATACAAGCTGATATATGATATATAGTAGTAGAGTATATATCACCCTATGTCTATATACTGTATGTATGCAGATAAAGTTATATATCCAAATTTATAGGAAGAGCTGGGCGATAATATAGTTACATTTAGCAAGGAAATAAACAATCAAGCAGTTGAGATTTGCTATATAGTATAAATATAGCTTTATGTGAGCGTACTGCATGTATGTGAATAAAGCTGAATATAATATCCAGTACAAAGCAACTTGAATTGCAATCAAAGTATGCATTTTATCAGTTCATGCATTTTGGGGGAATTGAACCCATGACATGCTGTTTGAGCTAAATGAACACGAGACCATGAAAAAGCAGTTACACGTTCGCTTAACTGCAGGCTGACAGACACACGCAGAGTTTTCTGACATGATATGACACATCTTAAGGCATGACCGTCATTAATGCTGCCATATGCATCTGAAATGCTGAAGACTCTTTTAGAAACAGGACACTACAGGTGGTTCTCTTTGCTCAACTCTCCATATCTGTGCCTCTTTGTAACAGGATCTTCACAGCCATTATGCCGATGGTGGCGGCTGGGTTGATTGCAGATGACCCCACTTTACAGCCAATCAGACGACTTATTTCCCTTGTACGACCTTTTGGTGGTTCACCTTTGTGTTGTCTGCTGTTTTAACACCCTTATCCTCCCTGCATGTGATGGAGCTGCATGGCCCCCTCATCTCACCCCCTCATTAGAGCCACTGATCGTAAAGAGCACATTCTGATTGGCTGATTGTGGGGCTATCTGTGTGTACGACCAATCAGCAGGAGGATCGTTAGAATCAGCCAGTCAGAATCAAACTCCCGCTCACTCCTCTAACACTCGTGCTGCGCTGTAACCAGTTATATAACATTGTGTCACTACATCGTGTCAACTAAAAGTGTGCTTTATAGATGCGTAGGAAGATTGAACGCTTGATTGTCACTGCCTGTATGAGCTGGAATGTCAAGCAAGAGTACGAATACACAGCGGACTAAATGTTTAGCATTTATGAGATGCTTTCTGTAACTTAGTGTATATCTGGAAAGACATTAGTAATGCTGTAGGGATATGTAGTGTGACAGCTATGGTAGTGTGAAACATGTCTAGCAAGATATTATATGTGTAAATGGGGGGGGGGGGGGGGATATATATATATAGAGAGAGAGAGAGAGAGAGAATTTATAGTTATTTTTTATAATAATGATGCCAAAAGATCATATTTTGTGCCAAAATCAAATTATATACACAAATTATAGACAATTATATACACATATATTTTGTATATTTATATATATTTAAATATAAACTTTCTGCATTTTTTTGTATTCTAAAATAACATTGCAAAAAAAATAATATTGTCAGAAAATGTTCAGGTTATATTTATAATATTTGTCAAAATGACGAAATACATTTTATGTAAATATACATTTCACACTAAGTAGAAGTTGTGAATTTAATTATTATTAATTTAATATAATAATAATTTCATTTTATTCATGATGCTTTTATTTTAGAAAAGCATATTCTAGACTTTTTTGCATGATGGTAATAAGAATCTAGCAAATTATCATAAACATAATGGGGGGGGGGAATCTAACTTCTTTCATACATTTTTATTTTTAATTCTGGTGTGAAATATGATATTACTTTGTGCAATATAACCATAAATTAGCTGTGCATTATCATCAATAAAAAATTAAACTTGAACAGTTCTGGAGTGTTTCACAATAACATAATAAATAGCCCAACAACACCCAAATGTACAGGTGAAACTCGAAAAATTAGAATATCGTGCAAAAGTTCATTTATTTCAGTAATTCAACTTAAAAGGTGAAACTATTATATTGTATAGACTCATTACATGCAAAGGGAGATATTTCAAGCCTTTATTTGTTACAGATATGACAACCTTTTCACAATATTCTAATTTTGAATTTGGGGTTTTCATAAGCTGTGAACCATAATCATCAACATTATAACAAATAAAGGCTTGGAATATCTCACTTTGCATGTAATGAGTCTATGTTTTAGTTTCAGCTTTTAAGTTGAATTACTGAAATAAATGAACTTTTGCACCATATTCTAATTTTTCGAGTTTCACCTGTATATGAATCAATCTAGTTTTTTAATCATAGTTTATGGACACAATCTTGCATGGCTTTGAAAACAAATGATGCTGATGTCCTGTCTCACATTCACAGGTTTAGCTTCTTTTCCCGGGACAAAACCCGAGGTTCGCAGAGGAGGATGCCGCAGATGGGAGACGGCTTGGGCTCGTGGGCAGTGAAAGAGGACGTGTACACAGAACAGGCCCAGGAGGCATTACAACACATGTAACCAACACACCGCTCCACTAACCGCTAACCTGCACCATGTGACCGTACGCCACGTTTACGCTCCCTTTCATGGTCAACCTTCACAGCACAACGTCTGCAAGCAGACGAGTCGAGAGCTCACAAAAGGGAACGCGGGGGACGGGGCTGTTTAGAGTTACTGATAGATTGTGGCCCTTACCTTCATCCAAAAATACTGTTAGGGGGTTTTATGTGCCTATTTCGTTAGATAGTTAGACATTTTATTGCTATTGCAAATGATAAGTTACTGTAAGTGGAAGAATAGAAGATTTCAGACAGTTTTCTGATGATGTTTAAAAAGAAGATGCCTTAAGTAGATAAGATACATATCTATTTTTAATTCAAATTGAATTATGAACGAGACACAATGACAAGTAACCATGAATATGCTTGTGGCTGAAGAAGAAAATGTTTTCAGTAGCTATACCCAAGCCAGAGATCGTCTGAAAAAGATGGTGGCATTATATGATGAATCATATTTAAAACTTTTTTTTGAAATTGCACAGTAGCCTAATTCGTTTGGCACACTGAAATGTTGAGAATTTAAAGGAATATCTGACGTTCAAAACTTAATTTCTACTGACGTCCTCCATGGCATGCTGTAGATTATCATGGAAAATATTTTTGATTCGTCCTTCAGTTTGTAACAGATGTTATATTTACAGTAATGCACTTAAAAATGGAAGTCTATGGGGCAAAACGTATTTTTATTATTTAAAATCAAAGTTTTTTGCGGTGAAGTGAATTACGCTTTGTGAGAAATGGTCACTTTTTCCCATTAAAAGAAGTATCGTCTGCATTTACTTAATCAAAAATACAGTAAACTAAAGTTTGAAATATTATTTTAAATTTAAAATAACTATTTTTTTATTTACATTTTTAATATATTTTAAAAATGTAATTTATTCCTGTGATCAAAGCTGAATTTTCAGCATCATTACTCCAGTCTTCAGTGTCACATGATCCTTCAGAAATCACTCTAATATGATGATTTGCTGCTCAAGAAACATTCATTATTATCAATGTTGAAAATTTACATTTTCTTCAGGATTTTTGATGAGTAGAAAGTTCAAAAGAACAGCATTTATTTGAAATAGAATTTTAATATTATAATATTATAAATGTTTTTACTGTCACTTATGATTAATTTAATGCGTCCTTACTGGATAAAAATATAAAATGTGACCTGTATGACGTCATATGGTCATGAAAGGGGTTTTAATCACACTGTATATTTGACCCTTTATCCCATTGTAATGCACCTTATAGTTCTATTATACATCATCCTCATCATTGCACGTTTAGTGTTTGTTTTACGAACTGAGGGGCAAATCAAACGTATTTTCTGTGGTAATTGACTGCATTTAAGAACCTGGATAATGTCTTTAAACCCTGGAATCATGAAACAAAGCTCGATGCGTCATTAAGTGTTTCTGTAGTTTACTACTGGCATCTGGCTGAAGTATCTGTCACATGGACAGACGTCATTCACCAGCGGTTTTGCATTGCTTGAGTGGTGCTTTCACTGTGTTTAGAGAAAGCATGGAAACGCGTGACTATGGTAAAGTGTAGAAGCTTTGTGATTAAGAAGTTCATGCCTGTGGGCCTTAATTCAGTTGTTGGATATGGAGCTAGAAATGTGTCTTTATTATATGTGAGAAAATAAATGATCTGAGAGAAGAAAAAAAAGTTTGAGAGAAAAAGTTATCACACTGATAGCAAAAAAGCATTTCACGAAAGAAAAAGTTTTCATATCAATAGCAAAAAATAATATTTGAGACTAAAAAAAGTTTTGAGAGAAAGTAATTTCTCATTGAACATAATAAAATTTACATTTAAATTTTTTACAATTATTTCTGAGAAAAAAAACTCTCTCAAAATACTTTGAAAAAAATTCTTAAATATATATTTTTTAGCTATCAGTGTAAAAACATTTTCTCTCAAACTTTTTTTTTTCTCTCAGATCATTTATTTTCTCGCATATAATAGACACATTTCTAGCTCCATATTGGACAGCTAGTACGCCACTCAACATGATGGCAAACTCCAGAACTGAGAGTGATATCCAGCAACAAGAACTGGATCAAATGTATCATTATGAAGGATTATGCATAACTCATCTCATTGTGTATTAAACTATTTTATACCATGTATGGTCAGAAATTCCTGCTCTCATTTCAAACATATTGATAGTCATTGAAACTTTATTTGTACGACAAACGAGTTGTTACACATCCAGTTATTAAAATTTAAAGGGATACTTCACCCAAAATTGAACATTTTGTCATTATTTACTCAGCTTAATGGCAGTCCATTCTGTATGAGTAAATAATGGCAGCAGTTTCATGTTCAAATTAACTTTTATTTCAAACTAACTTAAAAACAGTTTAAACTAAGAAAAGAAAGTCTTGAATGCATGCATGCAAAGTTTATTCTCGGTCTCTGTAAGAGTCTATGTGTCGTCTGTCTTCCTTTCTGTTGGAGTCTTTCTCTCGGCTTCTGTCCCGGTGGTGTTTAGAGTCTCTTTTCTCTTTGTAGTAACCTCTATCATTTTGCTCACTCCCTCTATCCCAGTCGTTTTTCCTCTCCCTCCATCGTCCGTGTTCCCTATCTTGTTCTTGGTCTCTTTGCCTTTCCTCCCTCTCGCTTGATGCGTCCCATCTATCTGCTGGTCGGTTCTGGGGCATCATGGATGCCAGATTGATGGGCTTCCGGAAAGGTCTATCCCTGCCTCCAAACCTCAGCTGCCCGGATTCCTTCTTGCCACCTTGGCCTCCTCCGAGTCGGCGAGGAATCCATCCCTGGAGCGTCCGCTCTTGCTCGAAGTCCACAAAGAGCTCGTACTGGTCCACGACCAGCTTGTTGGCATCACTCCAGGCTCTCTTCACCGAGCGCTCCTCCTTGTACTCGACGAAACCGTAGCGCTTGGAGAAACCCGTCACAATGTCTCGGACCAGACGCACCCTGCGGACGTCTCCAAATTTGGAGAAGACTTCCTGGAGCTTGTCCTCAGACGTCTGCGGGTTCAGGCGTGCCACGAACAGCGTCAGGTGAGGGTCACCGGTCACACCCTTGTTAGGCTGGTAGCGGGCCAGCATGCCCCTCCACACGGCTCTGTCATGTGGTTCCACATCTGTGCCATCGATACTGCCCGCTCTGAGGGGGTCGTAAACCATCGCAACAGGACTCCACTCGCTCATCATCTGATGGTAGAGTTTATGCAATAATTAATGCAAAATCCAGTTCTCTCAAATAAATGAAGAATTCTGTCATTATTTTTTAACCCTACGTGAAACTTACATTTTAAACGTTCTTTGTCAGACTTGTAATATAGCGCATGAGTCGTGAAGACTCATTTTATAGTGCTATGTTGAACTTGACAGCCTTTGATAGCTAGGAAATGGATGGAACTAACAGCATACTGGTATTGGATCGACGTGAGTAAATAATGACACAACTTTGATTTTTGTGTGAGATATTATTTCTATCGTAACGTGGGTTCCAAAGACAACACTAGCGAAAACGCTTCTATTTTATCTGTTTGTCTTCAGTATTTGATTTCGAGCTGACATGAACAGAACTTGATGCAGTGTTATTTTAGTATTAGTTATATATATTAGTACTTTTGTTGTCTCTGTGCCATTTGTATTCGTTTTCTTTTTATATTACTATTTAGCTTTCATTTTTTAAATTTTATTTTTAGTTTTCACTTTACTGCTTCAATTTGCCAAAGCTTTATTTTAATTAGCAAAAATGTTTTTAATAGTTTTTTAGTTAATAATAACCCAGCATGATTAGAGAATGATCAGTGGAAACAAGGACATCTGATCGTTTGTACCACCCAGTGAAAGGCCTCTCTCCACGCCTTTAAATGTTGTCTACTAGGTTTTAAGATGCTGCTTTTATACTCGTTAACAAACTAGACGATGTTATCCAGTAATTTTTAACCGAATCCAAGCACACACGAAGATGTGTTGTGCAATTTTAGTGTTTAAATTAGTCATACCTCTTTGAATTCACTAACACCATATACTATTGAGATTTAATTTTGTAATTCTGAATAATGTCATACACATATTTTACACAGTACAATAAAATAAACCATCGAAACCTTTCTTTTACTGTCTATGATCAAAACAAACCTTGTGGGTCGGTCCGCCGTCTAAAACTCTCCGTGTGGAAACTCCGGCTGTGCTGTTCGACGGGCCGTGTTCGTGTCGTTGTCGCTGACGTCACCGGGCATGGTCTTAAAGGGATAGTTCACCAATTATTTTTTTTAACGTTGTCATCATAATTACTCACTTTTATGTTAGTCCAACCCTGTATGTGTTTCTTTGTTCCATTGAACACAAAATATATTATGAAAAATGTGGGTAACCAAACATTTTCTGGTCCCCATTGACTTCCATGATATTTTTTTTCTATCCTATGGAAGTCAATGGGGTCCATCAACTGTTCAATAACTAACATTCTTCAAAATATCTTCTTTTGTGTTCTACAGAAGTACTTCATGCAGTACGTTGAATATTAAAAATCCCAGGATGTCCTTCGAAAAAGAGTAGGGGTGTAACCCCGGCATCCTGACCAAATTTGCCCCTTGGCCTCTGTCCATCATGACCTCCTAATCATCCCCACATATATATATATAAACACACACTGATTGGCTTCATCACTGTCTCCTCTCCACCAGTAAGCTGGTGTGTGGTGGGCGTTCTGGCTCAATATGGCTGCCGTCGCATCATCATCCAGGTGGTGCTGCACATTGGTGGTGGTTGAAGAGATTCCCCCTTCCATGTAAAGCACTTTGAGTACCCAGAAAAGTACCCACTATATAAATGTAACAAATGATTAAATTATTAAAGTGAGAAAATAACAGATTTTTCAATTTTGGGTGAACTGTCCCTTTAGAGAGGCTTTTGACTTTTGAAAGTAATTTAAAAAAAATAATAATATTCTAATTATAATAATGTTATTTAAAAATAATAATAATGTTTCTATTTAAAAGTGCAAGACCACATTAAAAATCTGGGAAGTTTAAATGTAATTTTGAAAAAAAAAAGAGAAAAAAGTAGGACTTAAAGAAAATCATGACAAAACATGGATTGAATTATACTGAAAACATTCTGCTAAATGTTTAGGTCACTAATCAAACAAGCTAATTTGTGACATTGACCATCAAATTCAACTGAACACTAAAATTGTTATGCTGATGCAATCTGTAATATTTCCTTAAAACATTTCCTTTTAGAAACCACTGTATATACGACAACAGAGACCAAGTGTTGCATAAAATCATTTATTTAAACAATGCATCGACCATCTCATACAGATTGATTTGAACACTCCCCGGCCGTTGGAGCTTTTGGTCATCAACACTCGGCTTGTGTGTAACAGGTACAGCTTTGTTCAGGTTAATCACGACACACCCAGCATTGTACAACGGTAACATTTCAAATGATATCAAAGTTTGGTTTCACATTCCAGTTTTCTGAACCTTTTAAAACGCCGCTCCTTTTAGCATCACAGGCTTTCTGCTTCAAACATAAACGTTTGGGCATTATAAATAATTATTGCTAAGCCTCTAACTACCTTACATTAGATTAGATTAAGAAAACTTTATAAAAATGCAGAAAGTTGGACTATAACTGCATGCTTTGGAAGCACTGATCTACCAATATATAAAATATACAAAAAGAAATGTGCCGAAACTAGCATGTCATAGAGCAGGATAAATATCTTAAAAGTAGGACACGTTGAATATGTACCGCAATCTAACGCGTTACTGTCACTGTGTAACATACCCATACACTTACTAGCCCAAAACATTCTCTGTTTACTAAGGCAATAATTACATTAAAAACTGTCTAGTTAAGAAACAAGGTGTTCTCCCCTCCTCTCAGTACATTACTGCTTTAGCCACGGGTGAGCTTCAATCGAAGCTTTACTGCGGTCGCCGTAGTCGTAAAGCAGTTCTTCTCCTTCCTGGATGTCTCTGGAGGCCACGAGGATAAGATGAGGTATTCCATTAATGTCATGGAGTTTGGTTTGACAGTTGCCGGTTTTACTGTGGTTGATGAGCCTTCCCAATCGATCGGACTCTTTCGTAGCGTCCACGCTGTCAGGGAACAAATGCACAAGTTTTAGACAGCGCTTATAATGGCCCATCTCTTTATATAAAGTCAGTCTGTCCAAACGGAGACTATATTATTTTCGCCCAGCTCTAATCCGCTTCTTTGAAACGACGTGTATTGTGAAAGGCCAAGTCGCTGGTTACAATAGAAATGGTTTAAGTGACGGAATCAATGATGCAAACTTCAAATATAAGAGAAATTCTGCTGTAAAGCAGCTTTAGCAAGACATTATTCAGCTCAATAACCGAAAAGGTCATTCATTATGAAGAGTTCAATTCAGCTATAAGCAGCTCTACTGAAAACGGTCATTTCATTATTCGGCTCGAGTCGGTTCAATGTTGATTCAGTTCAGTTCAATAAGTGATTCAGCTATAAAGCAGAAGACTGTCATTATTCAGCTTATTTCAGTTCAAGTTTTTTTTTTCTCATCCAATCGTGTCAAATCGATAATATTACTGGATATTAAGTGTCTTTTTACTCCTTTAAAAAGACAAAGGAGTAGGCCTTCCTTTTTAGGCCCTGTTTACTCCTGGTATTGAGATGCGTTTTGGTCATTCGAATCACAAGTAGACGAGTTCACATTCCTGTTATACCTGGTGTTTTAATCTGACCACTTTCAACCACTGTCATGATATCTTCGTGAGGAGGGTCTATGGGCAGGTAAATGTACTTTCAGTTCTGCTCTGATAGCCGCGGCGAACCCATAATGTTCCCTCATGAGGACAGTAGACGGAGAGAAGACGGTGTTTAGTGGCTGTTTGAACACACTCGACCACATGAGCGTTTACACTACGAAAGCAATACAGGTTTAATGTGTTTTCACTACCTCTGGAAGTGGCAGAAAGTGGACAAGCTTAAAGCGTTTTAGACCCCGTTTACACCTGTATTTAGAGTCGTCCACTTGTGATCCGATCCACCAAAACATCTTAATACCAGCTGTAAACAGGGCCTTTTTAGACAGCGCTATCCTCCTTTTTTCTACACCCCATGACGCCTTGCAAAACCTTTTACTTTTTAAAAAACAATGAAGTGACATTATTCGACTCGCCCTTCAACCATCGAACATTAAAAGAAAACTAAAAAGTGTAAAAGCATCACCAAAATACTTTCAATAAACCATGAATTGCCCTAAAATCTTGATTCTGTCCGCAGCAATATTACAGACAGGTTAAATATAACTGGAGTAATATTTGTCTATATTATGTAACGTACGTTGCCTTAACGTCCATTAACTTTAGCATTAAGTGGTAATATTTCAAAGTGCTTTCCGTCCTTTTGACAGATAACACATATTGTATTTAGCAAATATGAACAATGTTAATATGGATTAGAAGTGAAAAGGGGAGACAATAACATTTTAAAGCATCCATGTGAAAACAAACCTGGAAAGAGACGTGAGGATTTGGGGAGAAAAAGAAGAGATTCAGTGCAATCCAGTGAATTATTCATGGGATATATTGTAAATGAAATCGGGAGAGCAGACCGCAAATGCGCAGTATAATATATGTTTGTCTTTTTCATACTGTGGACAGTATGGAATACAAAGAAAATAATAATGAGGAAAAGAATGCAGCGACTGAAAAAAGCTCTCGCCACGGATATTCTTATGATACCACGTCACTTTAAAATAGCAAGCGTTGCATTATTCGTCTGATGTCTGAAAATAAAACATGAAGGAAGATGGATAGCTGACTCAGTCAAACTGATAAGGAGTATCTGTAGCTCAACCTTATCATTTAAAATGATTCATTTGAGTCTTTTTGAGTGGAAGTTCCCTAAACCGGAAGTGCGGGAAATAGGCTCATCAGGAAAAAGGTGGATAAATACATTTTCTGGTTTCACTGGTCAGCATGAAAATCACAATCAACGCCGTTTACTTTCTTCTACAGAAGTGACCAAGTGTTTGAATGTTGACTTTAAGACAGTTTGCTTCAATTTCATTCAAATCAAATCAAGAAAAACGAGATAAAACGAGAGGAAAGTGGGTGTAGTGCTTGAACCTACCAATATGTTTTGCTGAGATACTGGAAGTAATACATGTAGCAGCCAGTGGTTGGATCTTGTGCATATAAAGCCTCCCTTTTTTTGGCATCTGTTATCTGGAGCAGATCTCCATGGTACTCCACTA